ACACACACACACACACACACACACACACACACACACACACACACACACTCACACTCACACTCTTCTATCCTTTCCTCCATTAACTTTCGTTTTCTGACTCTTGTTCCCCGTAAAAGTTCACAGATGTTCTTCAAGACTGAGCACCCCAAAAGAGCAAGATATGGTGTTTGACTTAGCAACCCACTTTTATGATCTGGGATCCAGAATTATAAGACTGCTTAAATTTAAACAGAGGGCCCCTAGATCCCCACCAAACGATGAGCTCCCAGAAGATTTATTTCAACCATTATTTCTAGGGCGAGAACAGTTTGTCACTCCAAACCTTTCTTTGCTCAGATATTAATGAATGTCTTCAAAGTGACTCACCTTGTGGTCCTAACTCAGTCTGCACCAATATCTTGGGGAGAGCCAGGTGCAGCTGTGTTAGTGGCTTCTCTCCTCCCACTGGGAAGAGCTGGATCCTGGGAAGTTCCGGTCATTTTCTCTGCACAGGTAATATATTCAGGCTTTCTCCTGCGGGTTTTTTGGTGGAACACATGGTTCTCTGTTTTCTCACTCTCTTTCTCTGCTCTGCAGATGTTGATGAGTGTCTGACGATTGGGATTTGCCCTAATTATTCCAACTGTTCTAACTCTGTGGGAAGCTACAGCTGTACCTGCCAACCTGGCTTCATCTGGAACGGCTCCATTTGTGAAGGTTTGCAGGACCTGGTCCTTGTCATTTCTCATATGGTTTTGTCTGTGCCAAGGGCAGAACTCAGGGCTTTGCACTTGCCAGGGTGGGTCACTCAGACACTCCCCTGTTCTTTTATTTTATTTTATTTCATTTTTTTGTGTTATACAATTTTATTAAAATACACTTTCATTAAACATTTATTTTTTCCAAATGCATATGGACTATTTATAAAAAAAACTACATACTGTAAGAGCAGGCATGAAACAATCAGGAAAGCCATATGTAAAAGTTACATTCAAAATGTTTAGCTCATTAGTATTCGGCAACTTTGAAGAAAATACTATCTATTCTATCTAGGTGAGTCTTTTCCCAGCATGGAGGCTGCCATTTTGTTCTACTGACAGTGTCCTTTGTCTTACAGAAGATTTTCAGTTTCGTAAGGTCCCGTTTGTTAACTGTTAATCTCTCAGAGCCTGAGCTGTTGGTGTTCTGTTCAGGAAGTTGTGTCTTGTGCCAATGAGTTTAAGGCTGATCCCCATGTTCTTTTCTAAAGAATCAGTGTTTCTTGTTTTATGTTGAGGTCTTTGATCTACTTGGACTTGAGTTTTGTGCAGGGTGATAAATATGGATCTATTTTCATTTTTCTACATGTAGACATCCAGTTAGACTAGCACCATTTGTTAAAGATGCTTTCCTTTTTCCACGCCTTCTCCATTCTGCCCTGCCCAGGTATAGGCTGTTTAATTAACCAATCAGGTATAATGATTTAGGCAGGTTTTACACAACAAGGACAGGTTTATGTGAGAATATGCTTTTCTGAGCAGGGACAAGATCTTGGGGGCCAGTAATTAGCATTATAATACATAGCAGCAGCCCAGCCCCCAGCAGTTCCTGTGGTGCTGAGAAGAAGATATAATCTTTTGTTTTGTGATGGAATGTTCTGTAGATACCTGTTAGGACAATTTGACTTATAATGTTAGTTTCATTATTGCTCTGTTTTGTTTCTGTCTCTTTGACTTGTCCATTGATGAGAATGGGGTAGTAATGTGTGGGGTTCAGTATGTAATTTAAGTTTTAGAAGTATTTTTTTTTTTCAAATGTGGGTTTCCTTGTATTTGGGTAGGTGTTCAAAACTGAGACATCATCTTGGTTGAATTTTTCTTTGATGAGTAGAAGTGTCATTCCCTGTCTCTTTTGATTAGTTTTGGTTGAAGGTATAGTTAATTAGATATTAGAACAGCTACTCCAACTTCTTAGGTACATTTGCCTGGAAAAGGTTTTTCCAGCACTTTACTCTGAAGTAATGTCTATCTTTGTTGCTGAGTTGTGTTTTTTGTATGCAGCAGAAAAATTAATCCCCTTTTTGTATCCACTCTGTTAGCTTTGTCTCTTTATTGGGGGAGTTAAGTCCATGGATGTTGAGAGAGAGTACTGGCCAGTGGAGGATGATTCCTGTAATTTTGATGTTGGCGATGGTGGTGTGGGGGTGTGTGTGCGTCTCTTCTTTTGGTTTTGCTTGTGTGAAATTACTTATTTCCTTTGCTTTCTTTGGTGTACTTTCCCTCATTGTGTTGGTGTTTTCTTTCTGTAAACTAAACCAACCCTCTGTAGGGCTGGTTTAGTTAGAAAAATATTGTTTAGATTTGTTTTTGTCTTGGAATATCTTGTTTTCTCCACTGATGATTGAAGGTTTTGCTGGCTATAGTAGTCTGTGCTGACATCTATGGTCTCTAAGGGTCTGCAAGACACTGCCCAGGCTCTTCTGGATTTTAGAGTCTCTTTTGAGAAGTCAGGTGTATTCTTACTGGTCTGCCTTTATATATAACTTTGATTTTTTCCCCCTTGCTGCTTTTAACATGTTTCTTTGTTCTGTACATTTACTATTTTAGTTATTATGTAGGGGGAGGAATTTCTTTTCTGCTCTAATTTATTTGGTGTTCTGAAATCCTCTTGTATATTTAAGGCATCTCTTTCTTTAGTTTGGGAAATTTTTCTTTTATGATTTTGTTGAAAATATTTTCTGGTCCTTGGAGCCAGAAATCTTCTCTTTCTATGTTATTCATAGGTTTCGTCTTTTCATGGTGTCCTTGATTTCTTGGATGTTTGGTGTCAGAAATTTTTTAGACTTAATATTTTCTTTGACCGATATATTGTTTCCTTCAATTGTATCTTCTACTTCTGAGATTCTCTCCTTCTCTTGTATTCTCTTGGTGATATTTACTTCTATGATTCCTGTTCTCTTCCCTAAGTTTCCCATCTCCAGAATTTCCTCAGTTTGTGTTTTCTTTTGTTGTTTCTATTTCCATTTTTACATCTTAAACAATTTTTGTTCATTTCCTTTACCTGTTTGATTGTATTTTCCTTTATTTTTTTTAAAGTGATTTATTTGTTCCCTCTTTAAAGTCCTCTATCTGTTTGATTGTATTCTCCTGTGTTTCTTTGAGGGATTTATTTTTTCCTCTTTAAAGGCCTCTGTCATCTTCATAAGCATTGATTTAAGTTCATTTGTGTGTGTGTGTGTGTGTGTGTGTGTGTGTCTGTGTGTTTCAGCTGCATTAGGATCTCCAGTGCTTGTTGGAGTAGGATAGCTGGGTTCTGGTGATGCCATATTGCCTTGGCTTTTGTGGATTGTGTTCTTATGCTGGCCTTTAGCCATGTGGTTGGCATTGGCATTGGCTCATTGCTCTTGTTGCCCACTGGGTTTTTCATGCATGTGGCAGGAGCCCTGGACCAGAGGGTCCAGCAGCCCTCTTTAGAGTGGTGGATAGGGATGTAGGCTGGAAGGTAGATCTCAGTGAATAGACTGCAGCTCTACTCTGTTGCTTGTGTCCTGGTGGGACCTACAGACATGGAGTGGGGTTGGAGGTGACTAAACTGTTTGGTACTGAGGTCCAGCAGGTCTTCCCAAGAAGGCTAGTAGAGCCATGGCCTGGAGGGTTGGGACTGTGTGTACCTGGAAGCTAAGACCTCTCCTCTTGCTGCCATTTCAGAGTCAGTTGTGCTGTCAAACTCAGCAGTCACTGAGCATGCTGGGCGTTGCTGTCTTGGAAACCCTGTGTGATCCTCTTGTTCAGCGGTTCTCAGGGAGATGGGTAGAACTGTGCGGTGGAGGCTGGGACCATGTCCCAGGGAGGGAGGGGAAAGTTGGGTATCTGGAGCCTGGATCCGTGCATCCCTGGGACTGGTCCTCTAATAACTGGAAAGCACCCGGTGGTTGGCAGCTGGGACCATGTCCCTAGCACTCTCTATACCTCCTCTTGGACGCTGGTGTTCTGGAGACAGAAGCACAGCCACTGCAGTCACTGTCATTTAGGTCCTCAGACACTGTGGGGTCTGGGTGTTGCCACAGGGATTTTCTTTTTTGGTCCAATCTATTTGGTGGTCTGTAGGCTTCGTGTACATTTTTAAAATTAATTAATTTATTCATTCACTTTTCAATCTGATCGTAGCCCCCTTCTTCTTCTCTTCCCGGTCCCCCCCCTCCCTTCTTCATCTCCCTTTCTGCTCTTCCATTCCTCAGATCAAGTCGCATCAGGACTTGGGCTCATTCTCTTCCCCTGTGGCCTGGCAAGGGAGCCCGCTAAGGGCATCTGTATATAAATATATTTTAGTTTAGGGAAATTTTCATCTCTGATTTTGTTGAAGATATTTTCTGGGCCTTTGAGCTTGGAATCTTCTCCTTCTTTTATTTCTATTATTCTTAGGTTTGGTCTTTTCATAGTGTCTTAAATTTTCTGGATGTTTTGTTGTGGATTTAGTATTTTTTTTTTTTTTACGAATGTATCAATTTCTTCTATCGTATCTTCTATGTTTGAGAGTCTCTCTTCCATCTCTTGTATTCTGTCAGTGATACTTGTGTCTGTAGCTCCTGTTCTCTTTACTAGGTTTTCCATTTCCAGGATTACCTCAGTTTGTGTTTTCTTTATTGCTTCTATTTCTATTTTCAAGCCTTCAACAGTTTTATTTCCTTCTCCTGTTTGCCTGTATTTTTCTGTAATTCTTTAAAGGATTTATTCATTTTCTTCACCTGCTTGTATTTTCCTGTATTTCTTTGAGGGATTTATTCATTTCCTCCTTAAAGGCCTCTATCATCTTCCTAAAATTAGATTAAGGTCATTTTCTTGTGCTTCAGGTGTGTTAGGATATTCAGGGCTTGGTGCTGTAGGAGAGCTGGGTTCTGGTGATGCCATCATGCCCTGGGTTTTGTTGAGTGGGTTCTTACACTGGCTTTTAACCACCTGGTTGTCCCTGGTGCCGCCAGGCTTGGAGGACTCTGATGGTTGCAGCCTCTGGGATTGCAGGTTAGAGCTAGGGCCAGATGACTCGTGCTTGGAGGGCACAGTGCGGACCACACTGCTGCTGGGTTGGGATAGGGTCCCATCTTGTAGTCTCCGATGCCTGTTGCCCCTCGAACCGCAAACAGAGTTGGGAAATGGAAACTGGTGCACAAATGGATGGTGCAGACCATTTGCTGCTGGGTTTGCGGGGTGGAACCCAACAGGCAAGGAGATGGGGAAGGGTTTCTCCTGGTAGTCTGATGGCCTCTGGCTCTGGGATTGCTGGTAGGGCTGAAGCCCAGATCTGGCACTTGGACCTTAGTGCTGCTGAGTTTGCCAGGCAGGATCCTGCAGGCAGGGAGGTGGGAAAGGGGGCTCTCACCTGATCCACCATTCTTTTTAAATTTAATTGTTCACAAATACTCCTGCCAAACTCTTCTTTCTAATAATTTTCTCCCGTCCTTTCATTCCTTTGTTGTGGCCCCACTATGCTTGGCTCATTGATGTACCTGCATGACCACGGGCAGGGAGTTACTTACTTTACCAAGGAAAACATAACCTACAGCACTGAAGAAAATCTCCCTCCTTATCGGCTGCAGTAACCACGGATGTTCAAAGAGGGGTGGTGCCTCAGCAGTAGCCACATTGGTTGTGGGTTTTGTTTTGCACAACAGTTACATGATGTCCAGAAGATACAGTATTTCACAGCACTCCTCATCCTCTCACTGTTACATTTTTTTCTGCCCTATTTTCTATGCACTTCCTCATTCTTTATACTGGCCTGGGCCTCATTCATGTAGAAGCACCTGTCAGCCCCAGAGGAAAAATCAGAGGTAATCGGGTTTCTTGGGGCTTTCCATTTTTGGAATGGATACCCGTCACTGTGCATTCTATTGGCCAACACAATTAATAGAACAAGGTGGATCCAAAAGAGTGGAGAACCAGATGACGCTTTCTCATGGGAGTAGTGGAGAACCCACATGGCCTATATAATCCACACCCCAAAGCGTGGTTACAGGTGGCATGGAGGACTACGGATACTTGTGAATGTTTCTAAGACCATTTTAAATCTTTGCAATGTTTCTGCTTGCACGCCATTGTCCCGGGTTTATTCTTGTGCCTATTTATGGCCAGAAGGGAGGACGGAGAGCCTATCTCTCTGTGTTTTGTAGTGCTTTCATCTTGTCTGTTGCCAGTTAGCACACAGAGTGCATCTCTAGTGTGTAGTCTTTGCTCCTCACTCCTTCAATGAAATTCTCCTGCATTTTATCCCAACTTATCAGACAAGGATGAATGTGCGGATCACACCATTTGCCCAGAGCACTCCACCTGCTACAACACTCTTGGGAGCTATTATTGTTTGTGTGACTCGGGACTTGAATTTAGTGGCGGAGGACCAATATTCCAGGGCCTAGAAGCATCCTGTACAGGTAGGTGAAGGTGTTGACCAGGAGCTCAAGTTAAACCTATTTGAAAACAATGATAAAAGGTCTGGGCTTAAGAGAAGTTCAAGACTTTCATCTGAAAAACGGAAGCCAATATTCCTCCCTCCCCCTCCCATCTCCTCTCCTCCTCTCTTCTGTCCTCCCTTCCCCTCGCGTCTCCTGCCTCCCTCCCTCCTTTCCCCTCCCTCTCTCCCTCCCTTTCTTCCTCCTCTTTTTCATGAGTGTGGGTATACAAACATCATGGTACATGTGTGGAGGTCAGAGACCAACTTCTGGGGGTCAAGTTTTGCCTCCCACCTTGTTGGAGACAGGGTCTTTGTTTTGTCGCTGCTGTGCTGCCCACTTACTGAGATTAGCTGCCCCCACCCATGCTGTACACACCAAACTCAATGAGGTTGTATGGTCAGTACCACTCCATGAGCCTACCCAACCTCAGATCATCTGTGTCTATGTGTCTGTTCTTTCTTCATCCCCTCGCTGCCTCAGCCAGGCTTCCAGGACCTCACATGCTGGACGCAGTACATTTTCACACGTGTGAGTTTGAAAGCGTGTACACTATGGTATGTGTCTGGAGGTCAGAAGGGAAACATCTGGTGTGAGTCTCTGCCTCCCACCTTGTTGGAGATAGCTGCAGCGTACACCAGGCTATCTGGCCCACAGATTCTGAGGATCCCTTCGTCTCTGCTTCTCTCTGTGCTTTGGGGGTGCTGGGAGTAGACATGTACCACCACATCCAGCTACATGGCTTTGCTCCTCACAGTCCCACAGTGCATTGGTTACTTTCCTGAGCTGTTAAAAAAAAAAAAAGACACCATGACCAAAAGCACCTTAAAAAGAGTACATTTGGGCTTGTGTGTCCAGAGGGATGAGTTCATCATGGTGTGAAGGCATGGCAAGGGATAGGAGGCCTGGCAAGGGGTGAGAGGCATGACAGCAGAAGCAGGAGGCTGAGAGGGCTCAGCTCGCCCACAAGCATCTGAGAGAGCAAACTGGAAATAAGGTAATGCTATAGACTCTCAAGGCCTCCCACCCCCAATGCCATACTTCCGCCAGTGAGGCCTCACCCTCTCAACTTCTCCAAACGGTGCCACCAACTGCGAGCCAAGTGCCCAGAAGCCTGAGCCTATGAGGTCACCCTTATTCGAGCCCCGGCTTTCCACTCCCTGGCCTCCACAGGCTCACGCATTTAGCCACAGCCAGACTTTCGCCGCTACATTGCCCTGGCTCAGTGTCATTGTTTTGCATAACTCTGACTTTCTGTTCAGATGTGGATGAGTGCTCCAGGAACTCAACTCTCTGTGGTCCTACTTTCATTTGCATCAACACCCTGGGATCCTACAGCTGCTCATGCCCACCTGGCTTCTCTCTGTCAGTGTCCCAGGTCTCCGGCCTCCCGGCAGATGGGAACTGTACAGGTAATCTCCCCGCCATGTGGAGGACTTGTCCATAGGTATTAACTGCATCTCAAACATAGCGGCTTACAGCAATGGCCATTTGCTCTGGCTTACAAATAGGCTAGTTTTTCTCTTTCATTTAGCGTTTCTAGGGGCTATGCCTACAGTGGCCAGTAGATCTCAATAGCTGTCTTCTGGCGACTCAGACACCCACTGTCCACAGGGATACTTGGGCTTCCTTGTACATGGCTCCTATTTTCAAAACAGGTGGGTTTCCAAGAGGAAGAATGCAGAATACGCGGGGTGTTTGGGCCAGGGCTTAAAGATCTCAGAGCATTAATAGTACCCATGCTATTGGTTACAGTCAGGAACCAACCTAGATTTCAGAGGGGTGGGGGACTCTGTATGTAATTTGTTGGCTCAGATTGTCAGCTTGACACAATCTAGAATCATTTGGAAGAGTGTCTCAGTGAGGAATTGTCTGAGTCGGGTTGATCTAAGTATGTGCTTCATTCTGTTGCTGTGACAAATGATGTAACCAAAAGCAACTTGGGGAAAAAAGGGTTTATTTGGCTTGTATTTCCAGGTCACAGTTTATCACCGAGGAAAGCTGGGGGCAGAAGGTTATGGCAGGAACCTGGAGGCAGAAACCATGGGAGAATGTTTCTTACCAATCACGTTCAGGTTTGCTCCCAGGCAGATGCTTTGATAGCTTTCTCATACAATTGAGGACTACCTGCTCGGGGAGCGGTACCGCCCGCAGTGGGCTTGTTCCATAAATTAAGACAATAAAAGCAATCCCTCATAGACACGTCTACAGACCAACCTGATAAAGACAGCGAAGGTTTTCTTTCAGGTCTTTCTAAGCTGTGTCGAGTGGATGCTAACTCGAACAGCATGTCTGTGGAGAAGTGTCACGACTGTGTTAACTGATGGGAGGTGACCCTCCCACTGTGGATGGTGCCATTTCCTAGGTTAGGTCCTGGACTACATGAGAGTGGAGAAAGTGAGCTGGGCAGGGAGTATGCACTCCTTCACTTCCCTGTGTTCTTAAAAAAAAACAACTCTTTATTGATTCTTGTGAGTTTCGCATTATGTACCCCAAGTCTACTTGTGTCCCCATCTCCTATCTACCCTCTGCCCTTGCAATACCTCTTCCAAACAAAATAAAAACAAAACAAAAAACCAGAGAGAGAGAGAGAGGGAGGGAGAGAGAGAGAGGGAGAGAGAGAGAGAGAGAGAGAGAGAGAGAGAGAGAGAGAGAAACAGACCAAAAACTAAAACAAAAACCAAAACAAAGCATAGAAAACATCTCATTGTGGATGCTGGATTGTGTCCCACTGCACACCCTTCTGACCACACATCTTCACTTGCAAATGTTTATTGCAGTGAGTCATTGGTTTGGTTTGAAGTCCCTGGCTTCTGTGACACCATCAATATTGGATTCTTATAGGGACTTCTCTGTTGTTGCCCTGTGTCGTGGAGATCCTGCAGTTTTGGATCCTCAGGATTGGCCTTTTCACTGCCTCCCAACAGTTCACAGATGCTGTAGATTTTGGGGTGGACCAACTCAAAGCCCTGGATCTTTTCCTTGGTGGCAGCCAAGCTGGTCAGCCTGCCAATTCTCCTTTATCTGCACTACCAGGGCGAGGGCTCCACTGCTGTTCTGGCTGGCTAGGCAATTCAGTGCTGTCATCAGCAGGAGGCAGGGTCAGCTCTTCTGCTATCACATCCTCAGGCAAGCCACACATGCTTCCAGAGCCAGCTCCACTGTGCTGCTCAGTCAGGGTGAGGTCCACTCTTCCAAGTGCTGCAGCCAGCAAAGGGCTGGGCCACTTCTGCTCTCACAACCTTGGGGCTGGCTCACTTCCATCTTCGCCACCAGGGCCAGCTCTACTCTGTTGCCTAGCTGAGGCACTGGGCCTGCTCTCCCAAGTGCTCTAGCTGGTGAGAAGTAGGGCTAGCTTTGGCACTCTCATGACCCCGGGTCAGCTCTCTTGACTGCCTCAGATGGCAAGGGGTGAGGGAGTTGAGAGGGGGGAGGGCATACCCCCCCCATCCATGTGCCCTCTCCATTTCACTGCAGACAATTTGGGGGGTGCAAGCTCTCCAGAGTCCACACCTTCAGGGCTGGCCCACCTGTGCCTCTACCACTTGGAACAGCTCTACTGTGTTGCCCAGGCAAGGAGAAGGGCCCATTCCCCCGAGTGCTGCAGCTGGCAAGGGGCAGCGCTGTCTCTCCCACTCTCATGACCTTGTGGCCAGCTCTCCCTGCGGCTGCCTATCGAAAGGGGAGAAGGGGGAGGACGTCACCTATGGGTGCAGCTCACTTCATGGCCAAGGAGTGTTGGAGCCAGCACTCCCCTGCTCTTGCCCTCAGGTCAGGACCGACTCAGCTGTGCCCCTACCACCAGGACAAGCTCTGCTGTGCTGTCCAGGCAAGGTGCAAAGCTCACTCTCCTGAGTGCTGCTGCTAGTGAGGGGTGGGGCCAGCTCTTCAGAGCACCATAGCCAGTGAGGGACAGGACCAGCTCTGCTTAGCCCCAGGACATCTATGTGGCTCCTGGCAGCTGCCCAGACCAGAAATGTCCCTGAGATCTCTAATGGCAATCTGCACCATGAACATCTATACCGACCCTGCGCCTGCATAGCCACAGAGCTAGACAGGGCCCTCAGAGTCAGCACAAATTCAGACTTCACCATGACCTTTGGTGGTGAGTCTGGCTGCTCCCAACAGGCTATTCCTCTTCACCCTCGCATCTTCTGCTGCATCTCTCCTTATAATGCTCAAGCTGTTTCACTTTTCTTTCTTTCCCATCTGTCTACCACAGGCTTGTACATTGCAGTGACCCCCGATGCAGGCAGGCCACAGCGCTGGCTGGCCTCTGGGTGATGCCCTCTGTCTGAGCTGTGTGGTGAGGTGGCTGGCAGGCCTCTAGGTTTTCACAGCCTGCCCATGATGCACAGAGGCCGGCAGGTGTGTGGACGTCTTTCCCCACCTGCGCCTCACAGCATGGTGCTTGGCAGGTCTCTGTAGCTCTCTCTTTCTGCTCTTGACTGTTTCAAGTTCCTACCTTGATTTTTCTGCAGTGATAAAATTGTAAGCCTAATAATCCTTTATCTTAAAATTTGCTTTTTTCCCCCCAGGTTATTTATTAAAGTAACTGGAAAAAAGACTAGGATAGGGAGGCACGTGTGTGCGCAGAAAGTGAAGGTGTGGACAGTAGCTAACTTTGTTGTATCTATAATACAATGGGGCCCAGTTTAAATCTCAGTCTCCATGAGGAAAATGCTTCTTTTTTTTTTTTTTTTAAAAAAAAAAACTTAAATATTCTATTTCTCAAGACTTGTTGACCTTTACTGATATTGTTACAAGAAACACAACGGATGGGGAAAAAGTTAAAGGGAACTTAGAGTTAAACGATTTTGGTTCTCACAAAGCCATTCAGCCTCCCTGTCATGATTAAAGGAAAGTGCGAGCAGATAGAGCCATTTCTGTCAGTGTGTCACAACTATCTGAGAAAAACACGGTTTGGATAGAGGGGTTATTTTAGCTAATTCTCCAGGAAAGCTCACTCTTCAGTGCTTGGCTCCGTTGCTTCTGAGCCTGTGGGGAGGCAGAGCTGTGGCAGTGACAGAAGCCACCACCATATTACTTACTCTCCTTTTTACTGCAACAAAATGCCCCATGAAAGCAAGTTAACAAAGGGCTTGTGTTCTGACCGACGGTTCTAGAGTGCTCTCCATCCTTGTGGGGCAAGCATGGCAGCAGGAGCTGCTTGAGGCAGCTCGTCATGTCGCACCCACCGCCGGGAAGCAGAGAGAGACGGATTCCGAATACCGGTGCTCAGCTCTCAGCTTCTCCTGTTTATACCCTCCAGGACCCCAGCCCTGGAAATAGTGCCTACATCTAGGGAGGGTCTCATCCTAATCTGAGTAATCCTTTACAGATGTTAAAGTGTGCGTGTTCCCGTGTGAAAGTCAGAGGAGAGCTTGCGGGAGTCAGTTCTAACTTCCCACCATGTGGGTTCTGGGGATTGAACTCAGGTTGTCAGGCTGGGCAGCAAGTTACCTGCTGAGACATCTTGCTGGTCCTGTTGTATCATTATTTTAGGGTAACTGTGAAACAGACATCCTGAACCCAGAAGCCCCCTCACACACCTTCTATCGCCGGCTGTTGGTGTATGGAGAAGCCCCACCCAGAGACTATTAGCTGTCTAGCTGGTGGTAGGAACCTAGAAGAATGGAGCCTAAAAATGAGGTGCACTAAAGTCTCACTCAATTGCCAACTTTATTCAGAGCATCAGACAATTTGTGTTCTGGGGTTTTAAGCAAGGCCACAGGAGCAAGGTTCACGAGAGTTCAGGCTATATACAGTCACAGGGCTAGGCGTGTTCGCAGGAGATGAAGCTGTGTACAATCACAAGGAAAACCTGTGCTCGGACTCATCATGGGAATAACAGTAAGAGAATGACGTAAACCCGCCCTTACTGACTACACCTGGGAGGAGTATGAACGCACCCTCCAAGAACAGCAGAGATCACAAGACTCTTGTTTTCTTGAGATTTCCTCACAAGCTCTCAGAATTCTTCTCACACAGCTTCATGCATGGACTGTGTTCTCAGTGTGTCTAGAGTTCAGGTCTGTCTAAATAGGTGCTGTGATATCCTGGCAGAGTCACCCAGCAATCCATGTATCAGGATGCATCCCCATGACTGTGACATACAGCTGGCTACGTGCGCGCACGTGTGTGCGTGCGTGCGTGCGTTCGTGTGTGTGTGTGTGTGTGTGTGTGTGTGTGTGTGTGTGTGTATCAGGCCATCCCTCGATCACTGGGCAACTCAGTTTCTTTTTATTTTCCTTTTTTTGTGTGTGCATCTCTATGTGCACATGTGTGCATGTATACATATGAAGGCCAGAGGTCAACCTCGGTGTTGTTCTTCAGAGTCTGTCCATCTTGCCTGAGAGTCTCTCACTGAGCCTGGGGCTCACTGTTATTATGTGTGAGATGATTAGTTTTAGTTGCCAACTTGACACGAGTTAGGATCCTCTTTAAAGAGAGCCTGAAGGAAGGATTGTCTAAATCAGCGCAGCCCATGGGCATGTCTTGATTACATACTAGCTGATGGGGAAAGGCCCAGCCATCATGCGTGGCACTGTGCCTTACCTTAGGCAGGGGGTTCTGAACAGCAGGTAGTAAAAGCCAATGGCACCTGTTCCCTTTCTCTCTGTGTTGACTGTGGAGATGACCAGCTGCTTCAAGCTCTGACCTTGACTTCCACAATGATGGCTTCCATCTGGAGTTGTGAGCTAAAGTAAACACTTTCTTCCTTAAACTGCTTTTGGCCAGGGTATTTTTTTTTTTTTTTAAATCACAGCAACAGAAGTGAAACCAGGGGAGCTGGCTGCTGGGGATCAAACTGAGGTCCTTATGCTCACGCTTGAAGCTCTTTTCCCTCTGAGCCGTCACTCCAGCCCCCACCCTCATTCTCCACTGTGCAGATGTTGATGAGTGTGATGACATGTGCCCTTCCAACTCATCTTGTACCAACACTCTTGGGAGTTACTTCTGCACTTGTCACCCTGGCTTTGCATCAAGCAACGGACAACTGAATTTCTCTGACCCAGAAGTGGCATGTGAAGGTGAGCAGGGGATTTCACAGTCAGTCTGGAGCGTGGGCTTCTCCCTGTTCCTCTGAATTTCTTGTACGTTTTCATTCTCATTGCAGATGTTGATGAATGCGTCCAAGATCCATTACCATGTGGACGGAATTCTGTCTGTACCAATGTTCCAGGATCCTACATCTGTGGCTGCCTTCCTGGCTTCCAACTGGACCCAGAAGGCTCCCAGACACATGGGAACTTCAGCTGCAAAAGTAATGTCATGGTGCACGGCAAGAGGAGCTGTGTCATCGAGTTGCTCGTCAACTCCTTCTTTTCCAATAACTGGGTTCCTTAATTACTTTCATTTCACCCATGCAGTAGTGTCCTACCTATTCACTCCTTTACTGATTCATTGGTGCACTCAATAATAAGTTGAGTGGATTTTGGCTTAACCATTTTTTTTATTGACAGAGTTGCAGGTAGTACAGTTTAGCCTTGAACTCACTGCTAGCCTTGAACCTCGTTCCTCATTCCTTCAACTGCTGGCATCACAGGTGTATATGACCTAGCTTGAAGTATAAACGTGAAAGTGCAGAGATTACATTTTCCCAGGTTACAGTATGTACAAAAGTTCTGGGGTTCTCACAGAGTGACAAGCTTTAGATGTAACTGAACTTGGGGGTGGAGTTCAGGCTTTTTGGCATTTTGATATCTTATGAAAACATTTAGTTTTTCATCTTGAGAACAATGAAAGGTTATTATTGCTTTTTTTTTAAACTTTCTTTCACTGTGTATCTCTGGCTGTCCTGGAACTCTGTAGACCAGGTTGGCCTCAAACTCATAGAGATCCACCTGTCTCTGCCTCCTAAATCCTGGGATTAAAGGCGTGCGCCACCACCACCTGGACTAGAACTTTTTAGTAATAGATTTTTAAAGTTCTTTGGCCATGTTTCAGTACTGAGCATAAATATGGGTGGGAGAGGAGCTCATGAGGGCCCTCTTACTGAGGGGCAGCAGTAGCTGCCCATGGAGGACCAGTTTTCTTTAAGGGTGTGGCGCTGTGTATTAACTACTTTTCTGTTGCTGTGACGAAATACCACGACCAAGGCAACTTTTAGAAGAGTTTATTTAGACTTATGGTTCCAGCGGGTGAGAGTCCATGAAGATGGACAGTGAGTGAGGAGGACACCCAATGCCAACCTCTGGCTTTAATATGCATGAGCATACATGTTATACACATATTAGTGTGTTCACAAACATGTACGCACACACACATAAACTAATATAGAAAACAGAATGTATGTAGCTCGAATGGCTGCAATGAAATATAGAAACAACACAAATGTGTCTAAGACCCTCCTGATAAGGGTAAGGATGTCACTAGTGCCATTTTGACTCTCACTCACTGCTTCCCTACTCCATCTTTCTGTCTTCTTCTCACAAAGAACCATGTTGAAATATGTATTTATTGTAGCTCTTTCTTCCTCCTTTTCATTTTTTTAAATTTATGCTGACTATCACAATGTAAATGCTATGCCAGTTACTTCTGAGGAAAAGAGCACCATTCTGATATAAACCTTCTCATCTTCCTCTTTTTTCCATCCTCTCCTTTATCTTTCTTCCTTTTCCCTTCATTTTTCTTCCACCCATCCCTCCTCCTTCTCTTCTTTCTTCCTCCTCCTCGGCCTCTTTCCCCTCTCCTCCACTATTTTCTCTCCTCCCCCTTTCTCTACTCTCTTTCTTTCACCTCCCTCCCTCCTTCTCCCCTCCTCACACTCTTTCCTTCCTTCCACTCCTCCTCTTCTTCCCTCTCTCCTCCTTCCTCATTTCTTTTCCCCTCACCTCCTCCTAACTTCCATGGCTTCTTTTCCCTCCTGTATTTTTCTTTCCTGATGGTTTCTCCCCTCTCTTCTCATATCTTATGTATTTTGTTATTCTTTACAGCCCATTTTTAAAGCCCCCCCTCCAGCTTCCCGTTTTCTTCCACTCTTATATCCACTTAAATATATTTAACCTGTGGAAATCAGGATCTGTGTATGAGTGACAATATATAGTGTTTGTCTTCCTGAGTCTCTGTTAATTCAATATAATATATTCCGCTTTCATTCATTTAAAAAATCAGTTTTTTCTTATGGCTGTATAATATTCATATTCACATATGTATATCACATTTTGTTATCCAGTCATCTGTTGGTGGACATCCAGGCTGGTATCACTTCCTGGTTATATCCTCTACTTGAAAGAAAAAAATCATTCTTCCTTCAGGCACGCACCAGCATGCTTACCTTTGTTTGTCTTCTAGTTTTGTAATGATATCTTAGTTTCTTGTCAATGTGAAAAAAAAATATCCTTACAAAAGTAACTCAAGGGAGAAAGGATTTAGTCTGGTCATGGTTCAAGGTGCAGCCTCTTATGGTGGGAAGTTGAGGCAGCTAGTTGCATCAAACCCACAGTTAGGAATGGACAGCATGCATGCTTGCTGCTGCTCTTGATTTCCCGTTCTGTGTAGACCAGGGTCTCCCAACCAAGAAATGGCCCTGCCCATTCTTAAGACGTGTCTTCCTATATGTCAGTTAACCCAATCGAGATGATCTCCCTTAAGCATGCCCAGAGGCCCATCTCCCAGGTGATGCTGGATTCTGTTGAGATCCAACACAAATGGTCACTGCGACATTGGACACTGTGTCTTCTCTCAGTCCCTTTCAATTCATGCCCTTGGAGCTTCTTATGCCTGGTGTGTAGGTGCGCTTTGCTCCTAGTTGCTTCTGTGTGTTCAGGCTGAAGTTCGATGTTCTATGTAAAGGCCACAGAATCAGTTTTGTCTTGTAGTCATACCTCACCATGATAAACATTTTCCGTGGTTGATTTTTCTTCCCCCCAGGGATTCCCTTTAAATGTAAAGAAGACCTGATACCCAACAGTGAGCAGATACAGCAGTGCCAATCAGGGCAAGCCAAGAATCTTAACTACGTAAGTTTTTTGTTTTAGCATTTTTTTCTTTATTTTTGAGAATTTCATCCATATATATATATATATATATATATATATATATATATATATGATAATACTCATGCCCTATTTTTTTCTACGTTCCTCAACCTACATCCCTTCCAATTCCTTGTCCTGTTTTTTCTTTGATGACCCACTAAGTTTTCTGCCAGGAGCTTTTTAGTGAGGAAGGATCTGGAGAGCACCTTCCCGGTCTATGCCTAGAAGTTCAGCTGGCTTGGTCCTGTGTAGGTACCCACAGCTACTGTGTGTCCGTGAGTGCCATCACCATGGCATGTCTAGAAGACAGCATCTCACTACTTTCTTCCATAGCCTCCTGCTCTTATATGCTTCTTGACTCTTCATCCACTATGTTCCCCAAGCCTTGGTATATGTGTGGCTTTCATGTAGGTGGCCCTTTTATGGCTGGGTGCATATTCTTATTGGATATGTAAGTATTGTTGAACATTCTCAGTTCTTGATGCTTTCCAAGAGGCCACATAGGTGAAATATTGCTTCATCAATATTAACAAAACAAAAGCAATAGTGAAATAACAAAACCCATAATATCTGTATTGTTTTTAAAAGCAGAAACTACTTCTTTCTTAAAACAAGCTTCCTGTTCTGTGGTCCAAAAATGGCTGCTTTAGCCTCTCTTGTCAGATCTGTATTTTAGGTAGTAGAGAGAAGAGAAGTGAAAACCATTCTCCTGTTTAAAGAGTATGGCTTAGATAAGAAGGTTGAAGCTGAAAGGAACGTGCTGGTTTTTTATTTGGGAGGTGCTACTTTCGATGTGTCAATACTTGTTATTGAGGATAGAGATTTTGAAATCAAATCGATAGCTGGAGACACTTGGGAGGAGAAGACTCTGGTTACTGGTCAACCATTTCATTGCCAAGTTTAAAGGAAAGCACATCAGTGACAGCAAGAGGAATCAGCCTGTGAACTGGCTAAGCATACCCTCTTCTCCAGTACCCAGGCCTGTACTGAGATTGATTCTCTCTATGAGGGTATCAACTTCTAGGCCTCCATTATGCACACCTGAGTTGAAAAATTAAATACTGACCTGTTCTGTGGCACTCTGTACCCTGTAGAAAAAGCCCTTTGAGATGCCAGACTATACAAGTCAATGATCGATGACATTGTCCTGGCGGGTGGTTCTACCAGAATCCCCAAGATTCAGAAGCTTCTGCAAGACTTTTCAGTAGAAAAGAACTGAATAGGAACATTAACCCTGACAAAGCTGTGGCTTTTGGTACAGCTGTCCAGGCAGCCATTCTATATGAAGACAAGTCTAAAAATGTTAAGTATTTGCTGCTCTTGGATGTCACTCCTTTTCCCTTTGGTATTGAAACTTCTGGTGCAGTCATGACTGTCCTCATTATGCATAATACCACCTTTCCTACCAATCAGACACAGATTTTTGCCACCTACTCTGACAACCAACCAGCTGGGTGCACACGTATGAAGGTGAAAGGGCCATGACCAACGATAACAACCTGCTTGGAAAGTTTGAACTCACAGGCATAGCCTTCTGCCCTTCTGACACCAATGCTAATAATATCCTCAATGTTTTTGCTGTACACAAGAGCACAGGAAGGGAGAAACAGATCACCTTCAGTAATGACAAGGCCCACTTGATCAAGGAGGACTTTGAGTGCATGGTCCAGGAAGCTGAGAAGTACAAAGCTGTAGATAAGAAGCAGAGAGAGGTTTCCTCATATATATATATGACACAAAAGCAGCGGCTGATGATGAGAAACTTCAAGGCAAGAAGAAACAGAAGGTTCTAGACAAGTATAATGAAACCGTCAGTTGGCTGGGTAAGAATCAGACTGCAAAGAAGGAAGAATTTAAACACCAGCAGAAAGAACTGAAGAAAGTCTGCAACCCTGTCATTTCCAAGCTTCACAAGAGTGCTGGTGACATGTCTAGAGGAATGGCTGGTGGCTTCCCTGGTTGGTGCCTCCATCTGGTAGTTTTTCTTCAGGATTCACCACTGAAGAGGTGGTTTAAGTCAATCCAAGTAGAGGTGTAGCATTAATCTACAGGGAAACATTTGAAGGACCCAAAGTTAGCAAGTTATGTGACAGTTTCAGATTTATTAAATTAAAATAAAGTTAAAGTTAGGCTGCTACAATGAATTACTGGGCATCCTTATACTTGACCATGGAATGTGCACGGGGAGAGGGAATGAAACATTGCTCTTTATAAGCACTGTATCCTAGCTGGAGAACGCAAAGTCTAAAGCAGATGGAAAACAGAATGTCTAATAAAACAACGTCAATTGTCATCCCCGCCCTCAAAAGGAATATTTTAAAGTATCACTTCTAGCCATACCTCACTGACCAAAATAATATTCAGCTAGCTGGGAAGACAGGGTATTTGCCTAAAACAGCTTGAGGAATTCTTTTAAAAGAAAAATGGGCACAGGGCAGCTGGAGAATTGAGTCAGTGGTTGAGAATGCGGCTGCTCTCTCAGAAGATCTGAGTTCGATTCCTATATCAGGCGGCTCACAACTGCCTGTAACTCCAGCTCCAAGAGGTTTGTGCCCTCTTCTGGCCCCCCCAAAGCAACCACACTTACAGGGCACCATGTGTGCATGCATGTACATATGCACACACTCACACACACACAAACAACACAACACAACACAACACAACACAACACACACACCCCCCCCAAACCCTTTAAAATAATTTTTAATTATATTCTCATAGTTGTAGGACCTGTGAGTTTTCCTCCCTCACCCAGCTACTGAAACAATGTCCCTGAGAGTTATCATTTATGAATAAATGCCTAGGCCATAGGATTCTGATCATTCCCTGACTAGCCCAAAACTTATTTTGCCTGTTTATCTTATTCTATGTGTGTTACATGTCTGGTTACTTCTCCTCAGTTTTATCCGTTGGTCTTCCTTAGAGTCTTCCACCCAGAGGTGGACGAATCTTCCACCTCTGACTCTGTCCCAGAGTTCATCTCTCTCTGGGGGAACTCCCCCACCTCCTATTTCCTGCCTCAGCCAATAGGCCATCAGCTTTTCACTGACAGGTGTTGTTCCCATACAGTACACAAGAGAGTCTCTTATCAACATATTCTTACGATGCTGAGGACTGAGCCCGGGGTCTTGTGCTAGGCAAGTGCTGCACCACTGAGCTGTTTTCTAAGACCAAGTAATTGTTGTGAAGTAAGTTTTATTATCATTAAATGTTTAATATGTAAAAATAAATATATTTATACCATGAAGTATATACATATGTTCGTAGATATAAATTATATAAAATAAAAATATATTTATTTATACCAGGAGTTTATATATAAATATATAGCACATATAAGTTTATGTATAATTCTATATATGAAATTATATAAAATATAAACATATGTATTTATACCTGGGGTTGGGTAAACACTTCTTAGGCCAAAATAGATTGTGAGTGGAGAACCCGATCTATTAAACTCATGGTGATCAGTAAAAGACTTCATACCCACCTTCAGAACTTTGTCAACATTCATGCGTGTCTACACATTATCTGTGCGATCCCCACACATCTTGAAGGCCTGTCATTGCAGTTTGTTGTGGACTATCTTCTCAGCTTGGTTACTTGCTCTGTTTGCTGTGATAAAACGCTGTGACAACAGCAACATAAGGAAGGAAAGGCCTGTCTTGACTCACAGTATGAGGATGTGGTCCAGCATAGTGATGCCCTGGCAGCAAGATCTCGAGGCATCCAGTCAAGAAGCAGAAAGCCATGAATGCTGGTGCTCAGCCCACCCTCTCATTATATATGCAGTCCAGAATCCTAGCCAAGAGAATGGTGCCACTTGCAACAGGCAGCTTTTTTTTAACCCCAATTAACCTAATTAAGATATTAACCACAGGTAGCTGGAAAAATCACTCAAAGGTTAAGAGCACTGCCTGCTCTTCCAGAGGACCCAGGTTTAAATCCCAGCACCCACTTGATGGTTTACAACTATATGTAGACTAAGCTGGCCTTGAACTCATAGAGATCTTCCTGCCTCTGCCTCTTAAGTGCTAGGGTTAGAGGTGTGCACCACCATGCCTGGCCTTGATGACTAATTTTATTTGTCAGTTTGACCCAATCTAGAATCACCTGAGAAGAGAGTCTTAATGAGGGATTGTCTACATTGTGTTGGCCTTTGCAGATTTTATTAATCAAGCTAATTGATACGGCAAGGCCCAGACCACAATTCCCTAGTCACAGGGTGCTAAATTGTGTAAGAGTGGAGGAACAGAGGTGAGCACAAGCAAGTGGGTGAGTGGGTGTGCATTCCTCAGTATTACTGACTACAGCTGTGATGAGCCATTTCAAGCTCCTACCTTGAGTTTTCACAACGATGGTCGGTAGCCCAGAATTGTAAACAGAAAGAAAACTATTTATTCCTCAAGTTACTCTTTGTCAAGGTAATTTATTCAGGCAACAGAAATGAAATCAGGACACTGTGTCATAACTCTCCATACCGAGATGGTATACTGGGGTTGTTTCAACATGCACACACAGTGTGCTCTGATCCAATCAGGCTAGCTTAGCACTTCTTGCTTTTGGTTTATATCTGGAGTCTTCACTTCTGGTTATTCGCGAACTATATACTATATGCTATATACTAGGCTATGAACTATGGTCTTCCTGCTGAGCAGGGGGTGCCAGAACTCTCCTGACTGAGTGCACTTGTTACACATCACCCATTTCAACTTCTTTTCAACGAAAACTTGATGGGATAACTTGTTTCCCTGAGAACGGACTCAGGAATTTGGACCACTCATATGTTGAGGCCTAATGCTCAATTTGTAGACTTTGCGATTCACTGCAGACTGGCTGGTACTCACACGTGATCTTTCTCTGGGAACACAGGCCTCCTTCTGCAAACTTGTGAATGCCACCTTCAGCATCCTGGATGACACCTGTGAAAACAAAAGTGCCCCAGTGTCCCTACAGGTAATGTCAACACCTTCCTCATCTGTGTCTGTCTCTCCCCACCACTCTCTCTTTGTGTGTGTATATGCCAGGTTCACACACACACACACACACACACACACACACACACACATTCTCTCTCTCTTTTTTTTTGTGTGTAAGCCAGGTATGAACCTCAGGTATTGTCTTCAGCCTCTCAGTATGTCTTTGCCTTGAAGTTTTTAGGTTAGCATAGAAAATGACGGGTCATGGAGAAACACTTAAAGAAATGCTCAACATTATTAGCCATCAGGGAAATGCAAATCAAAACGACCCTGAGATCTCACCTTACACCCATCAGAATGGCCAAGATGAAAAACTCAAGTGACAGCACATGCTGGAGAGGTTGTGGAGAAAGGGGAACCCTTCACTGCTGGTGGGAATGTAAACTGGTACAACCACTCTGGAAATCTATCTGGTGCTTTCTAAGACAATTAGGAATAGTGCTTCCTCAAGACCCAGCTATATCACTCCTAGACATATATCCAAAAGATACTCAAGTATATTTACTCAAGGACATTTGCTCAGTGATGTTTGTAGCAGCTTTATTTGTAATAGCCAGAAGCTGGGAACAACCCAGTTGCCCCTCACCTGAGGAATGGATAAAAAATTGTGGTACATTTACACAATGGAATACTACTCAGCAATAAAAATACAGAGAAATCATGAAATTTGCAGGCAAATGGTGGGAACTAGAAAGGATCATCCTAAATGAGGTATCCCAAAACAGAAAGACACACACAGTATATACTCACTTATAAGTGGATACTAGACCTATAATATAGGATAAACATACTAAAATCTGTACACCTAAAGAAGCTAAGCAAGAAGGAGGACCCTGTGTAATATGTTCAATCCTCATTCAGAAAGGCAAATGGGTAGACACAGAAGACTATCACAGAGGGCCTCTGAAAGACTCTGCCCAGCATGATATTAAAGCAGATGCTGAGACTCATAGTCAAACTTTGGACAGAGTGCAGGGAATCTTATAAAAGAAGGGGGAGATAGAAAGACCTGGAGGGGACTGGAGCTCCACAAGGAGAGGAGCAGAATCAAACAATCTGGGCACAAGAGTCTTTTTGAGACTGATAATCCAACCAAGGACCAAGCATGGAGATAACCTAGAACCCCTGCACAGAGGTGGCCCATGGCAGCTTAGTCTCCAAGTACGTTCCATAGTAATGGGAGCAGGATCCGTCTCTGATATGAATTCAGTGGCTGGCTCTTTGATCACCTGCTCCTGAGCAGGGAGAAGCCTTACCAGGCCACAGAAGAAGACAATGCAGTCAGTCCTGATGATACCTGATAGGCTAGGGTCAGCTGGAAGGAGAGGAGGACCTCCCCTATCAGTGGACTTGGGGAGGGGCATGGGAAGAGAAGAGGGAGGGATGGTAGGATTGGGAGGGGCTTAAGGAGGGGGCTACAGCTGGACTAAAAGGTGAATAAATTATAATGAATAAATAAAAAGAAAACAATGGGTCTTGTCATGACTGGTGCAGAGATAGGTGTCATTTATGCTTTGTATTTCTATCTCTTCCTGTTTTTAACCCATCTCCTCACTCCATTCATTTCCCCCTGGATCATCTCTGATTTCAAAACATATTACTTTCTTTTTTAATTTATATTTCTTTTTTTATTTATTCACTTTGCATCCTGATCATAGCCCTCTTTGTCTCATTCTGGTCCTACCTTCCTTCCCTCCCTCCCTTCCTCTTCCTCTCCTATCTCCTTCACCTAGTCCTCAGAAAGTGGAATCCTTCCTCCCCTACCAGCCTATCAAGTCTCATCAGGACTGGCTACGTGGCCTGGCAAGGTGGTCCCACCAGGGGTAAGTGATCAAGGAGCAGGCAACACAGTCCATGTCAGAGACAGTCCCTGTTCCCCTTACTAGGGTATCCACATGAAGACTGAGCTGCCATGAGCTACATCAGCACAGGGGCCTTGGTCCTCTCCATGCATGTTCCTTGGTTGGCGTATCAGTCTCTGAAGGCCCTCCTGGGCCTAGGTTTATTGGCTCTGTTGGTCTTCTTGTGGAGGTCCTGTTCCTTCTAGGTCCTTCTGTCCACTCCTGCCCACCCTTTGTCATAAGACTCCCTGCACTCTGCCCAAAGTTTGGTTGTAAGCCTCAGCATTTGCTTCGATCCCTGCTGTGTGGAGTCTTTCAGAGGACATATATGGTAGGCTCCTGTTCTGTTCCCTTTCTTCAACTATTCCCAATTTCTATTCTATTTGCCCTTCTGCATGAGAATTAAACACCATCCCTAGGATGCTCCTTGTTACGTAGCTTCTATAGGTCTATGGATTTTAGTATGACTAATTTCCACTTATAAGTAAGAATATACCATATCACTGTCTTTATTCTTTACTCTGAAATTGTATTATTTTTCAAAATAGAGTGTATTTCATTTATTCTTTGACAATTTCAAATGTGTAAATCATATACCTTGGCCATATCCTACCCAGATCACTTTTCCCACTCCTATCTTTCTCCCCTTCAGGTGTTCCAAACATGTCTCCTTCATATATTTTACTGTTTTAAAAACCTATTTAATCACTTTATAGTCTGATCTCAGCCCCCTCCCTCCTCTCCTCCTAGTCCCATCCTTGTACTCCCCTCCTCCATTATCCCCTCTCCTTCTTCTCAGAGAAGGGGAGCTCCCAGAGTGGAAGCAGCCCACCCTGGCACCTTGAGTCACAGCAGGAATAAGGGCCTCCTCTCCCACTGAGGCCATACAAGGCCTAACGGGACTCACAGGCAGGCGACAGAGTCAGAGGCAGTCCTACACCCATGGTTGTGGAACCTGCATGCTTACCAAGCTGCACATCTGTCCATATGTGTAGGGGGTCCAAGCTCAGCCCATGCCTGCTCTTTCGTTGGTGGGTCAGTCTCTGTGAGCACCCATGGATAGTTTACTATGTAGGTCTTCCTGTGGGGCCCTTGTCCACTCAGGATCCTTTCATCCTTCCTCCCACTTTTCCACAGAACTCCCAGAGCTCAGCCTATTGTTTGCCTGTGGGTCTCCGCACCTGTTTCCATCAGCTGCTGGTGAAGCCTCTCAGAAGACAGTTATGCGAGGCTCCTGCCTGCAAGCATGGCAGAGTATCATTAATAGTGTCAGAGTTGGCTCTCCCGTGGGGTGGATCTGAAGATAGGACAGTCATTGATTTGCTATTCCCTTAATATCTGATATATCTTTATCCCCATACTTCTTGTAGGTAAGGCAAATTTTGGGTCAAAGGTTTTATGGCTGAATTGGTGTCCCCCTCCCTCCACTGGAAGTCCCACCTGGCTAAGGAGATGGTGACTTCAGGCTCCTTAACCTCAGTGCTAAGAGTCTCAGCTAGGGCCACCCTGTCCCTGAAATGCCCCCATCGATTTTCATTTTCCTTCCCAGTTCTCCCCTCTCCCCACATCTTATCCCCACTCCTGTTACCCTCCTCACCACCCCTCCATCCAGCTTTGTCCCTCCGTCTGCTTCAGGTGCCTGTTTTATTTCCTCTTCTGAGTGAGATTCAACCATTGTCCCTTGGGCCCTCCTTGGCTTATTTGGTTTTATGGATTGTAGCCTGGTTTTCCTACACTTGTGGCTAATATCCACTTATAAGTGAGGACATAGCATGAATATCTTTTTGGGTCTCAGTTACCTCACTCAGGATGATCTATTCTAGTTCCATCTATTTGCAAATTACATGATGTCCTTGTTTTTAATAACCGAGTAGTATTCCATTGCGTATAAACACCACATTTTCTTTATCCATTCTTTGGTTGAGGACATCTAAGGTTGTTTCCAGTTTCTCATTATTAAAATAACTCACAGAATCCAAATGTGTGCAGTCTACTGCAATACTGATCCATCTTGGGCCTGAGCTGCAGGCATGCACGGCTGCTGTGAGCTGCAGGCAGGCACAGCTGAGTCCTGTCTGAGGCCAGTCTTTCACTGCACTTTCCTGCCTTCCATCTGCACATTCTTCCTGACTCTACTTCCTCGAGGCTCCCCGAGGCTTGGGAAGGTGAGATAGACGCCTCGTTTCAGGACAAGCATACGATAGTCACTTATTCTCAGCACTTTGACTGGTTAAAAACGCACCATTTCCCATTATTGTACCCCTTTAGACTCTTTTCATATTTTATTTAGAATAAACACCTTGTTTTCTTCAGAGTCCTCCCTCTCCTTAGGACTGGATCTTGCCAGTTCCATATAGCTGTCTCAGTGCCTTAGGAATGACCTCAGCCTTCTTCTGGATTCACCTGTTCTTCCAGATTATTTTTTATTGTTATTTCCATTATATTCAGGGATGATAGTATAATTATAACATTTCCTCTTTCCCTTTCCTCTGCCCAAACTCTCCCACATATCCCTCCATGCCATCTTTCAAGTTCATGGCCTCTGTTTTCACTAACTATTGTTACATGCATATGTATACATATATATTACTAAATAAATGTACCCTGTTCAGTCTGGGTAACGTTGCCAAGATCATCTTAAAACATGGGTTCTGGGGAACCTAACTCAGGTCTTCATGCAGAAAACGCTTACCGCCTGAACCGTTTCCCAGCCCTGTGTCTGAGCTTTGAACTTCCTGGGGCTGCTCTGGGTGCCCAAAGTTTGTATTTAATTTAATACAGTTGTAAGCTGAGAAACATGAAACTAAGCTGAAGTTACTTTCTGATTTCTGACGTACAGCTCTGGTTTTTTTTTTTTTTTTCATGGAAAACAATTAGTGGAGCTGGCTTGTGGAGCAGGGTTCAGCCAGTTTCAGTTTTCTCTCAAGATTTCCTGCTCCCGTGATGTTGGGGTTGGAACTCATGGCCAGGCAAGCACCTGACCACCAAGGCTGCATCCCAGCTTAGCCCCCCTAAAATCCCACTTCATCTCTTTTGTTACAGTTTTATGATTTTAAAGACATCACATTAGTGGAAACTGTGTGCTGGAGTATGACTATAGTGCTCCATTTGGGAGGCTGAGGCAGGGAGATGTGAGTGTGAGGCTCTCTATGAAAAGCAAAGGGTTTGTTTCGGCTTACGCTTTGACGTCACACTCTATCACTGAGCTCAAGGCAGGAACCTGGAGGCAGGAGCCAATTCAGAGGCCGTGCAGGATCAGTGCTTGGTGGCTTGTTCCCTATGGCCTGCTCAGTCTGCTTTCTTATAGAACCCAGGACCACCAGCCCAAGGGTGGCAGCACCCGCCATGGGCTGAAATATCCCACCGAACAAGAACACTCCCAACAGGCTTGCCTAAAGCCCAGTTTTCTCAGCTGAGGTTCCCTCCTCTCAGATGACTCTGGCTTGGGTCAAGTTGACAAGAAATAACCAGTACAGCAACCATTTTACCTTCTTGGTGTACACACATCCACGCATGAACACACACACTGATAACACACAGGTATGCACACACACAGAGCAGTGGAGTTGTCTATTGAGCATTAATGGATAAGCTTAGTTTACTGAACAAGAATTCGATGTTTGGTTCTGGACCTCTAAAGTTAAACACAGGTTTTAAAAGCAGATTTAAAGTATGTGGCTTTAGTTCCATGTGTGTATCTGTAAGAATGTATGTGTATGTGTGTGTGTGTGTGTGTGTGTGTGTGTGTGTGTGTGTGTGTGTGATGTAGTTACCTGTGGAGGCCAGAATGGGGCCCAGATCCCTGGAGGGTTTGTCTGTGAGCCACTTGGTGTGTGTGCTGTGACCTGAGCCCCAGTCCTCATGCTGAGCGCTGAGAGCTTTTAGCCACAGAGATGCATCTCCAGCCCCCACAGCTCAAGGCTTGGTGATGCCACTTAATGTTAGTAAAACGTGAATCCTTGTTTTCTCCTTTCAAACCGGAAACAATCATTGCCTGTAATTTCATAGACATTGACTCCATACTAAATAAGGTAATATTTATGTACATGCTTACATATGATAGTTAAACTCTATGTATCTGACTCAGGTTGTGGCTCAGTGGGTAATGGGCTGCTTTGTAAGCAGGAAGATCTAGGTTCTATCCCCAGAACCCAAACAAAACAAAACAAAACAAAACAGAACAGAACAGAACAGAACAGAACAGAACAGAACAGAACAAAACAGAACAGAACAGAACAGAACAGAACACTGAAATCTAGGCATAGCTCCTGCATTTGAAATCCCAGCATTGGGCGGCAGGGCCTGGGGATCACTGTCCATCCAACATAGTCTACTCGGTGCGTTCCAGGCCAGCGAGGGACCTGTCTCAGCACAGGTGTCTGGCGTCTGATAGGCAACAGCCACATTCAGCATCTGATCTGCACATGAGCGAGTCCTTGTGTGCTTGCACACACGCTAGCGCACACGCATGTACACAGTCTTCCCCACAACTCTGTGTAATGTTTATAGTGCCGGAAATGTAATCACTATACTTAGTTCTTTTGGTTTTCCGAGACAGGGTTTCTCTGTGTGGTCTTGGCTATCCTGGCCTCTCTTTGTAGATCACACTGGCCTCAAACTCACAGAGATCTGCCTGCCTCTGCCTCCCAGAGTGCTGGCATTAAAGACTTGTGCCATCACGCCTTATACTTACACTTTTAAGTTTTCTTTTTGCCAGCTTTCTATATCATGTGTGTAGGTGCCCTCAGAAGCCAGAGGTATCAGATCCCCCAGAGCTGGAGATACAGACAGCTCTTAGCCATCCAATGCGGGTGCCAGAACGGAACCTGGATACTCTGTAAGAGCAGGGTGTGCTCCTGACCTCTGAGCCATTTCAGTCCCAAGCCTACACCACACTTAACAACAGTTTTCTTAAGTTTTGACAGTTTCATACATCTATCTATCTGCCCGTCCATCTTCTTGTCTGTCTGCTGTCCCGTGGTTATGTTCGCCTTTCCCTGAGGTACCCCCTTCCTTTCCCCTGGCACTTCTGCCTATTTAGTCCCCAGTGACTCCACCATTAGTGGAAATGACACCTTTTTTCTAGCAGCCATTGAAAGTCATTAGTGTCCCCGGAAGGGATGGGGCCTTGTGATCCGTGGTCCTGTGGGTCTCGTGCAGGTATCCATAGCTGCTGTGTTTGTGGTTGCCATAGTGATGTATGTGGACAGCAGCATTTCACGAGGCTCTTCCCTGTATCCCAGCTCTTCAGCTCATGCTTGACTAGATTTCATGTCTGGCACAGCCATATCCACTGGAAACAGTTAGAGCCATGAAGCCAGAACAGATCTGCTTGGCACAGATCCAGCAAAGCTGCAACCCAGTTGCTGTGATTGCTGTCATTCTATCTCTAACTGTTGGGTTTTGGTCTCTGCACATTGAATTCTTGGGGGCTTTCTGATTATGATTTATTTTATGTCTTTTCCTGAGTAAATTATGTTTGAACCTTTTAAAGAAAATCCTAAAGTTAACTTTATCTGGCCACTATTTGGAAGTCTTTCTTAAGCCCTGTAGAGCATTAAGCACAGTTAAGCACATGGCTAGATTGGGACTTTCCTCCAGAAATCTTCTTGGGGTGCCTGCCCCTGAACAAACTCAAGCAGTGTAATTGGTGCGGGGTAAACAGGGACAATTGACAAACTGGGCCTGGCCAGGAGAAGAGATTACAGATTCTTCTTATTACATGCTTAGAGCTCTTTGAAAGTACATCTTAAGCATAAGGTGTCATACAGGGTATACCCCTGGAGGAGTAGAACTTCCTAAATAAGATAGATTGACTAAAATAAGCTTTTCCTACATTACAGTGTAGATGATGAAGCATAGTAAAAGAAGTTAGGTATTAGCATTTGATATTCATAAAAATACTGGTTCGGATATTTTCTGTTCATCTGGAGTAATCTCAGACTGCAAACTCTGCCAGCCTGAAAGCAGGTTGTCATGTAATAAATGTGTTTGCTCTGGAGAAGACATTATTTTTCCCCGTTTAATTAATTAATTAATCAATTATTCACTTTACATCCTGGTCGCAGCCCTGTCTCTTTCTCTCCTCTCAGCCCCACGCTCACCCACCCTGGCTCCCATTCCCCCTCCTGGTCCCCATTCCCCCTCCTCTTCTCTTCAGATAAGGGAAGGACCCCGCCATGGGTAGCATCCCTCCTTGGTACATCAAGTTGCAGTAGGACTAAGCATATCCTCTCCCACTGAGGCCATACAAGGCAGCTCAGCTGGGGGTACGGGAACCAAAGGCAGGCAACAGAGTCAGAGACAGCCTCTGCTTCCATTATTTGGGAACCCACATAAAGACCAAGCTGCACATCTTTTATATGTAGGGGCCCTAGGTCCAGCCCATGCATGCTCTTTGGTTGGTGGCTCAGTGTCTGTGGGCACAGCCCCAGGTTAGTTGACTCTCTAGGTCTTCTTGTGGTATCCTTGACCCCTCTGGCTCCCTCAGTCCTTCCCTTAACTCTTCAGCAAGACTCCACAGCCTCTGCTTAATGTTTGGCTGTAGGTCTCTGCATCTGTTTCCATCAGCTGCTGGATGAAGCCTCTCAGAAGACAGTTCTGCTAGGCTTCTGCCTGCAAGCATAGCAGAGTATCATTAACAGCGTCAGGGGTTGGCTCTCTCCCCCTAGGGTAGGGCTCAAGTTGGGCCAGTCGCTGGTTGTCCATTCCCTCAATCTTCGTTCCATCTTTATCCCTGCACATCTTATAGGCAGGACAAATTTTGGGTCAAAGGTTTTATGGCTGAGTTGGTGTCCCCATCCCTCTACTGAAAGTCCCGCCTGGCTGCAGGAGGTGTGCTGGGAGCGATTGCATGCTGGATTGCCAGAAGCAAGCAAGTGAGCCCACACTCGTTTTTGCACATTCGTTTTGACGAATGGGTGTATCTTTGGTGTGGGCAAGGCCCCAAGGATTTTGCCTTAAGACTGCGTATTGTTGCTATACTGTCTTTCCATGCTTGTCTCATATATCTGGCATGGCAGAGACCCTCACTGCTTATTGCGTCACTCTGTTGGGCAGATTTCCTACAGATGATTTTGAAGATGTACATTCATGGTGCTGTTTAAACAAATTGATGATTTCATAACCCCTGATGATGATTTTAAAGAATTTCTGACTTGAATCAAGTAATTTAAAAAAAATTATTTTTTATGAATTATAGTTTATTCACTTTGTAGCCCCCTCCCAACCTCACCCTCCCTCCCTCTTCTCCTTCTATTCCCCTCCCTCCCGCAGTGTAATTAAAACTGCTAGAAGCTCTATGAACCTCCATATGTCAAACACTTGCTTTACATTCATTCTAGGTTTAATCCAAAGATAAGGTGCAGGTGTACACCACAATAAGAAAGACCACATGGATATAGAAACAAAGAATAAATGGTTAGCTGTACAAGACAAGACAGACACCTGTTTCTTAGAAAAAAAACCTTGACACAAAAAAATTTGCTTTGAACACATAATGTACATTTGAAATAAGATAAAACTTCTGCTTTGAACTCACAATGAGCATATAGATAAAACCACTGCTTTAAACTTATAATAACCGAAGTGTCTAGTTAGATATTAGGAATGACAGTCCTACAGTAATTCCCCTTTTATGTATCTATTTTTGAATGATGTAAGTTTTTCTATACCTTTGTATTAGAGAGTATAAAAACCCAAGACACAATCAAACAGTTGTTGAGGCCACCTGCTCCTCCAAAAACGTGTCTGTCTAATTGTCTGTATATACTGTATCTATGTATATCTGTATGTTTACAAACACGGGGATGAATGGTATTTTCGGGAGCTCCCTTGATTTGTCTATTGACTGTGTGTGCATGTGCGTGAGAAGTTTGGAAATATCTGCCTGCTTTGTCTGCCAAGGTGTATGTTTTTGCAGGAGAAGAAGGCGAAGGAGAAGGGGGAGGAGGAGGATCAGGAAGAGGAAAGGAGGGAGAAGTAGGAGGAGGAATGGGAGGAGGGGCAATAGGAGGAAAGGGAGTGGGAGCAGGAGGAAGAGGAGCAGGATGGAGAAGGGCAGGAGGGATGAGCATACGAGTAAATGTTTCTTTCCTTGCAGAGTGCTGCTTCCAGTGTCTCCCTTGTGCTGGAGCAAGCACCCGTATGGGCTGAGCTCAGCAGGAAGGAGACATCCGCCCTGGGTACCGTCTTGCTGGAGACTGTGGAAAGTGCCATGTTAGCTGTCCTTCTGACACCCTCTGGGAATGCCAGTCAGATCATTCAGACAGAGAACCTAGGTAACACATATCCTTTAGGGCAAGGCGGATTTTCAGGGCTGACTCATAGCTGGATTCTCATGGCTGTCCACATACATTCAACACCTCTAATTCACAGTAAAGCAGGTCTAATATTAGTGACATTTACAACTTATCAATCATTTGGCCAAAATCAGACATGACATGAAGAGTGTGTCATTAATTCATTCAACAAACATCTGTGACTTGCCTATTATATAATTTAAGATATGATAATCATTTTCTTATTCATATATTTTCAGTTTTTTTTTCTTCTGAGATGATAGTTGGATTGTATCTCTTGATTTGGCATTAGGAAGAGATTTGTGACTGTGTCAGATCTTTATTCTAGAACATTCTTTTCTTTCCACTTAGTGGCTGAGCATATTTGCACCTCAGCTACTCCAGCTGCTTGTGTCTCAGTGTTAAGACAATAAAGAGCAGGGTATAAATCAAGTCATGAAGGAAACAGGCAATATTGAGAAATACATGCCATTTTTAATCCAGAAAGAGTTGAGGCTATTTGTTAATGCAGCATGGATTCTTCCCTGACTGACACATACTTACCACTTGGGGGTACTGGGTGCCATTTATGTTTGTATGTTCTCACTCCAGTTAATAGTTGTTGTGTAAACTTTGTTCTTATTTCCTCAGATGAGGGGATGAGATGAGAACCTTACCCAAACTTTATAAATAAATGGCTTGGGCTGAGCCCAGCACATTTCTAACTATTCCTAGGCCTAGGCCTGGAAGCTTCTAGCTTCTGTACAATCTAATCTTCTGTAAGTCTGGACCTTGAAGGCGTCAGTCAGGGGCAGGAATGGTGTTTGACTCAGCTCTTGTAAACTCACTCTGTAATGGTATTGACTTCTGACACCATTGGTGTCTCAGTCAGCTTTCTGTTACTGTAACAAATTTTTGAGACATGTCAACTTTTAAAATGGAAACCTTTGATTATGGTTTGATTACGCTTTTGGAGGTTTCAACCACAGTTGGTTGGGCTCCACTGCTTTGGGTCTGTGGAGATACAGCACATTATAGCAGAAATGTGGGTTGAAGAGGGAACTCACCTCATGGCTGTAGGAGACACTGAGAGCAAGAGTGCTAGAGTGAGTACAAGAGCACTAGTTCTTCAAATAGATGCCATCAATTGCCCCGTCCAGCGGGAGTTCAACGTGTTCCTAAGGAGGGGCGAAAAGAATGGGGTGGAACAAGAGACTCGAAGAATGAGAGCAAGTCTATCATCTGATCAAGCTCTGTTTATTTGAAAAGTTTCACACAACTTTATAGGGAGAGTAGGAAGGGGGAAGGATAATTCATTGCTGAAGAAGATAGCAAAAGTGTTTTATGGTTTGAGATACTGCACCTACAAGATACCATAAGAATGTTTCCTTAAGATATCTCAAGGATGCTCCAAGCCTAACGAGTGGCTGTTCTCACATAAATCTCTCACCCATGACCTAGGGTCATAGTGCAGCTGTTGGTAACTTTCCACTAATTGGCTTTGGCTCCACTAAATGGCTTTGGATCACTAATTGGCTTTGGCTCTCGGCAATCAATGACCTAACTTTGTTCCAGGATCATATCTGACAGTTTCCACCACTGATGTCATGAGTGGAAACCAAGTATTCAATACAAGGATTCTTAAGGAAAATTTTATATTCAAACTGTAGCAACTGAACTCTATTGCTCTCAGTGTATCTTGCTAAGATGTGAAAGCTTATCTCTCTCTCCCGCTCCCCTTTCCTCTCTATGTCCATGCATGTGAGGGTATGAATGTGTAATGTGAATGTACATGGAGACCAGAAGACATGCTAGGCTTTAATTTCTCTCAGGTTGCTTTCTCTACTTGTGGCTTTGCAGCAGGGTTTCTCCCTCCCTGGAACTCACTCCAAGGCTTAAGATGCTCAATAAGCCCCAGTGCTGAGATTGTAAGTGTGTACCACTGTTCCTGAATTTTGCTTATATGTGGGCTCTGGGAATGGAACCCAGGTCTCCATGTTTGCAAGCTGAGCACTTTGCCCACTAAGCTATGGTCTCAGCTGGGAAAGCTGACTTCTGAAGCTGCAGCTAGGCTTCTTATTATTTTGTGATAAGGTCTGTAAAATGCATATTAGTGAATTGCCCTCTGCTCTTTAAACTCACTGAGAAGCCAGCTTGGAGATGGGACAAGCCTCCTTCTCACCCCCACTTCAGATTGAAACATATTTGCTTTAGAGTGCCCTCCGGGACCCCTTGTCCAGGGATGGACTAGTCCTCCAACTTTGTGAGAAGAGGAAAAGGAGAATTAAAAAAAAATTCCAAGAATGGAAAACCATGTTTCAAGAACAGCAAGAGTTACTGCTGCAGTGAAAACATTGTTTCTTGAGTATGGCTGGGAGGTGAAACACTCCTCCAAGGCGAAAGACACAACTAGTATTCATCCATGATAGAAATATGTCTGTGGTGGGAATAGCCAGGGGACAGTCGCATCTAGGAGACATCGTCCATGTACCCTTTGCTGTCGATTCCAGCTGACTGTTTTGTTCTTAGGCCTCCCGCGTCCCTTCCTGCTAATGGTGGAAGTGTCCAATCTGGTCTCTACTGTGTGTCTGCTCAGTTTTTAGTTATTTTATGTCTGCTTGCTGTGCACTTAATAAACCCCCAAACCAAAATTACAGCTATGGTGGATTGTCCTCCTTATGGAACACTGCTGTTTCCAAGAGTTTCCCCATTATTCCTTTGCTTTTGACTAAAATTTACATATATATATGCTTTTTTATGATTTTAAATTATGTGTTTGAGTGTGTCTCTGTGTGGGTATAAACACACCAGTGCAGGTGCCTGTGGAGGCCATAAGGGAGCATTGGTTACCCTGGAGTAACAGGTGGTTGTGAGCCACCTGAGATGGGTGCTGGGAACTGAAATTGGGTTTCCTGCAGGAGCATCAAGTGCTGTTAACCATTGAACTAGCTCCTGTGCATCTTTATTGGACAGAAACCAAATTCAAGATATACTTTCTGTGTGTCTCAATGAAAACACTCCTTTTTCCTTTCAGACATTGTAAGCAAAGTAATCACTGAAGAATGCAACAAGGAGAATGTGTCCTTAAACTTGAAAGCCAGAGGGGATGAGATGAATGTTGACTGTTCCGTCATTGAGGAATCAGAATCCACAGGTACAGTGCCCCTGGAGGCTCAGCCCACTAGCCTTACTGACCAACTATAGTCTTGGAAGGTAGCTACGGTTGATGAGAGAAGAAGTCTTTACGTTCCACACATGCAGATTTTTCTATCTGCTAGAGATGTGGAAATTTAAAACACTAAAAGCACGATGCTGGAGCGCAATACCATCACCAGTGGCATGTGGCTACCAGCTATGTGTGACTGTTGAGCTCTTGAGTTCTGATAAGCCTCCAGCTGGCCCATTCTGTTGTGAGGCTGTCCACTGAGTTCTAAAATTTGGTTTATTGAGTGCCTCGTTTTCACAATGTCAGTGCGATGTTGCCACCATTTCTATCTCTTCAGTGAACTCATCTTTTGTGACCAGTTTGTCTTATTTTATCCAGCTGTTAATTTATATCCTCTTCAGATTTATTGAGTTTAGCCATGTCATCTTTGATTTTTTTGTTAAATATTGTTTTTAATTTTATTTTATTAACTTATTTTATTTTTTAATTTTAATTTTATTTTTTATTTTATTAACTTATTTTATTGTTTGAGAATTTCATGCACCTACACAGCACATTTTGAGAAAATATGCCGACCATCCTTTCCTCTCTAATTCCTTCCCTTTCTCTCACCATTTCCCCTTCTCAGCAGTGTGTGTGTGTGTGTGTGTGTGTGTGTGTGTTTGTGTGTGTGTGTGTGTGTTTTAAACCCAGCAAGTTCACTTCATGCTTCCTGTAAGTGTAGGTTCATTTACTGGAGATGGTTTCTGCTCAGGGGACATGTCCCTGAAGACAATGGCTCTCCAGTAGCTATCAAGCACCAACTCCTCAGATGGGGTAGAACTTCATGAATGTTTTTCCATCCATGCTGAGTTTTGAGTCTGGCTTGGTTTTATGCACTCAGGCATTGCTGCTAAGAGAGGCCATGTGTGACAGCCCCATCAGGTCTGGCAAATGCTGCTCTTCTGTGGATGTTCATTCTCTCTGGCTTCTACAATCTTCTTGCCTTCTCTGCTGTGCTGATCCCTGAGCTTTGAGGGGAGGGAGGTGATGCCAAGGTCCCGTTTGGAGCTGAGCATTGATGTTCTCATTTGGGATTTCACCCACTTCCCCCTTACTGTCATCTGTCATTGTGGAGATGATTTTTGGATTAGCTATGTTGCCTTGAAGTTTTCAATCTTTCATGTGTTACTAGATTGGTGTTTGCATATCTAGGATTAAGCTGCAGGAAGGCAAAACAAACAAATGACAGATATATAGACAGACAGTCAGACAGACAGACAGACAGACAGACAGTAAAGATAAGATCAGGAGCTCAAAATACCCAGCAGAAATTAACTCAGGACACCTCACTGAAGCAACCAACTGTGTTTTTCAAACAAGAAAGTTTCAAGCAGAGTGAGGTCCCCTCAGTCAAGGCTTTCAGGTCAAAGAGCAAAAAGCAACACCTAGAAGTGACATCACTGAAGTGAGTGCTCACACCTTTGGGAAGGAAATGACTAGGGAACTTGAGGCAGACAGATGGAGTTCCTGACTGAGCTTTCTCCTTTTGGCTGAGCTTTCCATAGCTGAACTTTTGGCTTCTCTTTCCCATCACAGACACGTTCATATCATGGGATAAACACAGTAACTTCTGTTGAAAAAATACACAGATTTAAATAAATGAATAAAAATTAGAGAAGAAAGAAAGCAGAAAACACAAATGCAGAATTAGGGAGCTTAAGCAGTCCTGTTAGGCCACAGAGGAGGACTTTGCAGCCAGCCCTGAAGATAACTGATAAAACAGGGTCAAATGAAAGGGGAGGAGGTCCTTTCCTATCAGTGGATGTGGAAAGGGGCAGGGAAGAGACCAGGGAAGGAATGTGGGGTTGGGGAGGGAATGAGGGAGCGGGATACAGCTGGGACACAGAGTTAACAAAATGTAACTAAAAAGAAAAATAAAATTAAAAAAAAGAAAGTTAATGGTATAGTTTTGCAAAAGAAGATATAATTTAAGCAAATGTGTTTGTAAGTACATATCTTCTACAGATTCAAGTTTGGAATAAAATAAATAACAGAAAAAAAAGAATTAGGGAGCTTAGTGGATAAGGGCACCTGGCACCAAGTCTGACCACCTGAGTTCAATCTCTAGGACCTGCAAGGTAGAAGGAGAGGGAGGATTCCCACATACTATCCTCTGACTTCCACACACACAGCATGGTCTGCTCGCATGAGGGATGGAGTAAAATAGAAATAAAAATGCAACCAAAATAACAACAGGAGTCATGGCTAGGGGTGCTGCCTTGTCTCGGAGTGTCCTTGCTTGTGTGGGATGCGGCTTCAGGCTGTGCACATGGCTTCTTGCTATTCTTTCTGAGCTGCGTGGTCTATACCAGTCTGTGTGAGCCTCTGTGAATCTCCCTCCCATGTTCAGCTGTAGGCCGTTTCCTCCACACCTATAGGGTGTGGTTTGTGGGCCTGGCAGTAAGGGATTTTGTGTTTTTTATTGAGCATCTGGGCAGGTCTCTCTCTCTGTAGTCCTGGCTGTTCAAGAAATACCCATGTACACCAGGCTGACCTTGAGCTCACAGAGATCCTCCTGCCTCTGCTTCCTGAGTGCTGGGATCAAAGGTGTATGCCACCAAGCGTAGCTTTACTATATGCAAAATTTTATCCTTCTACGTCAAAAATTCCAGTATGGATGGGAGACTCCTCTAGCTGAGGGGCTGTTGGTAGCTGATGGGTGCTTGGGAGGGAAAGTTAGTTTTCTTCAGAAATGTGGCTCTGGGTAGAGTGCCCAGATTCCAGCAGATGGTTCTATGTACAGGCAGCACAAGGTGGACTCTGGGGATCTCTCTCCCCACTGCTCGTCCTTTTGTTCTCCCTTTCTCCTCCCTTCCTCCCCATTTCTTTGCTTTTCTGACTTAAGCCCTGTGCTGGTTAGTTTTAACTACCACCTAGACAGAACCTGGAGCTATCTGGAAAGAGTGTAGTGAGGGACTGACCGGGTCAGGATGGCTGTAGATGTTTCTGTGGGTGGTCTGACTTACGTTATTTGATATGGGAAGACCTGGCCCAATGTGGGCGGCATCATTCCCTGGACTGTGTGAGAAGAGAAGAAGCAGGCTGAATAGTGCAGAGAGAAGGCGGGCAGAGTGTTCACTCTCTTTGCTCTTGACTGTGGGTGTGATGTGGCTAGTTGCTTGAATTCCTGCTCTGAAAAGTTTTTTTTTTTTTTTTTGGCTATTTTTGTTGTTGTTGTTCATTCATTTGCTTTTTTATTTTTTATTTTTATTTTTTTAATTTTTTATTAATTACACTTTATTCATTTTGTATCCCCCCATAAGCCCCTCCCTCCTCCCCTCCCGATCCCACCCTCCCTCCCCTTTCTGCATGCATGCCACTCCCCAAGTCCACTGATAGTGGAGGTTCTCCTCTCCTTTCTGATCTTAGTCTATCAGTTCTCATCAAAAGTGGCTGCATTGTCCTCTACTGTGGCCTGGTAAGGCTGCTCCCCCCTCAGGGGGAAGTGATCAACGAGCAGGCCAATCAGATTATGTCAGAGGCAGTCCCTCTTCCCATTACTATGTCACCCACTTGGACACTGAACTGCCATGGGCTACATCTGTGCAGGAGTTCTAGGTTATCTCCATGAATAGTCCTTGGTTGGAGTATGAGTCTCTGGGAAGTTCCCTGTGTTCAAATTATTTTGTTCTGTTGCTCTGCTTGTGGAGTTCCCATCCCCTCCAGCTCTTACTATTTCCCACTTCTTACATAGAATTCCATTCACTCTTCCCGACAGTTGGCCATCAGGCTCAGCATTTGCTTTGACAGTCTATACTGCAGAAGCTTTCAGAGGCCCTCTGTGGCAGGTTTCAAGGTTGTTTCCTGTTTTCTTCTGGCTTTCAGAGGCCCTCTGTAGCAGGTTCCGAGGTTGTTTCCTATTTTCTTTTTCTTCTGATGTCCATCCTCTTTGCCTTTCAGGATGGGGATTGAACATTTTAGTTAGGGTCCTCTCTTTTGCTTAGTTTGTTTAGATGTACAGATTTTAGTGGGTTTATTCTATGTTGTATGTTTATATGAGTGAGTATATACCATGTGTGTCTTTTTGCTTCTGGGACAACTCACTCAGGATGATCCTTTCCAGGTCCCACCATTTACCTGCAAATTTCATGATTTCCTTATTTTTCATTGCTGAGTAATACTCCATTGTATAGATGTAGCACAGTTTCTGCATCCATTCTTCAGTTGAGAGGCATCTGGGCTGTTTCCAGCTTCTGGCTATTACAAATAAAGCTGCTACAAACATGGTTGAGCAAATGTCCTTTTTGTGTACTTGTGCCTCTTTTGGGTATATGTCTAGGAGTGGTATGGCTGGATCTTGAGGAAGCGCTATTCCTAGTTGTCTGAGAAAGCGCCAGATTGATTTCCAGAGTGGTTGTACCAGTTTACATTCCCACCAGCAGTGGAAAAGGGTTCCTCTTTCTCCACAACCTCTCCAGCATGTGTTGTCCCTTGAGTTTTTCATCTTGGCCATTCTGATGGGTGTAAGGTAAAATCTCAGGGTCGTTTTGATTTGCATTTCCCTAATGGCTAATGAGGTTGAGCATTTCTTTAAGTGCTTCTCTGCCATTCGATATTCCTCTACAGAGAATTCTCTCTTTAGCTCTGTTCCCCATTTTTTAAGTGGATTACTTGGTTTGTTGCTTTTCAGCTTGTTTAGTTCTTTATATATGTTGGATATGAGTCCTCTGTTGGATAAAGGGTTCGTGATGATTCTTTCCCAATCTATAGGCAGTCACTTGTTTTGATGACAGTGTCCTTTGCTTTACAGAAGCTTTTCAATTTCATGAGGTCCCATTTATTGATTGTTGCTCTTAGAGCCTGTGCTGTTGGTGTTCTGTTCAGGAAGTTTTCTCCTGTACCAATGAGTTCTAGGGTATTCCCCACTTTTTTTTCTAGCCGATTTAATGTGTCTGGTTTTATGTTGAGGTCTTTGATCCACTTGGACTTCAGTTTTGTGCAGGGTGATAAGTATGGATCTATTTTCATTTTTCTACATGTAGACATCCAGTTGGACCAGCACCATTTGTTGAAGATGCTATCTTTTTTCCCTTGTATGGTTTTGGCATCTTTGTAAAAAATCAGGTGTCCGTAAGTGTGTGGGTTTATTTCTGGGTCTTCTGTTCGATTCCATTCTGAAAAGTTTTAAAGACTAGTGAGTTTATTAACACAACAGTAAGTAGATTAAATGAGAGAGAGACAAAGAAAACCTTTAGGTGTATTTATTTACATCTATCTATCTATCTATCTATCTATCTATCTATCTATCTATCTATCATCTATCATGTGTATGCACGTCCATGATAGTGCATACACATGATAGATGATACATGCATCTATCATGCATACATGCATGCATACATGCACACACACATATCAAGGCATACAAATGGCAGTTAGGCAACGTTCAAGAGTCGGTTTGCTTCCCTCCTTCACTATGTGGGGACTGTATGAAACATAGACCTTCAGGCTTGGTGACAAACATTTTCCCCTAATGAGCCATTTCTCCAGCTCCAGGTGTCTTTACAATGGCTGTGGATGTGATTCTGTGGCTTCTAAGTTACATTGGTCATTGGTGTCATTTGCCTATGAGTTATTGTGTAAGGCACTAGGCAGTGAGCAGGAGCCATCACACACCCCAGTCAGGGACACCCCTGGTTGAACATGGAACTGGAAGCATATGCTCCGAGGCAGAGAAGGGTAAAACAGCTTCTTCCTCAGGGCCTGTAACCGGTTCTATGCATTGATGGACCACTGCAACAATAGGAAAAAAAATGGAGAGAGGGTTTTCCTCCCTGCTGGTTCTCATTTTGGGTGAGAAAAGTGAACTGGATCCAACAGTCAGGGTTGTAAATATCCTCATGGCCATGTGAGGTGCTATGCGATGCACCTTCTCATAGTGGAAAACAAAATGATAATTATTTTCCAGCAAGTTTTATGCCATGTAAATTTAAGAGGATTCGTATCTCCCTAACTTGACGGTCCCTTTTGTGTGATGAACTGTTCCTCATGGTAAAGACAGAAGTGTTGCTGGTGATGGTCAATGTTCTCAAGACAACTTTGTCACGAGGCACGCCACACCAAACACGTTTGCCTGCAGATTTAAGAATCTGGTAGCCGTCCTAATGACTCTTATGTGGCTGCTGTGTTACCCAGGTTTTGATTTTTCTAAGAGGCTAAAAGGTCTTTGCCCAGGCCTAATTGGGCTGTCGGGGTCGGAAAGAGAATAAGGGAACCTTTGGCCAATATCGGGGAGTACTCCAACCTAGAGGCCTCAGTTGTTCCACAGCCATATCCAGTCCCACTCAAAGGGGCCAACCAAATATATATATATATAGAGAGAGAGATAGAGCCTCCTCCCTCAGAATTTGGAAGCTTAGGCCCTTAGGCAGGAGAACACTCACACTTTTTCACTCTAACTGGAGGTTTTGTTACCGCATGTCTCAGCTGTCCTCCGTTCAGCGGGAGCCTGGATTTCAGCTTCCAGACGGACAACAGGGTTCCTTTTCTCCTTTTCTCTCAGGGTCAGTTAAAGCACATTAGGGTGAGGCCCATGTGTACTAGGCCGGGATGTGGAACGGGTTTTCCAGGCGTGTTACGATTCAGCCCTTTTAGAACGGAAACTTGGGTGTTCCAAAGCCTATGGCGATAACAAAGTGTTACAGCTCTTGGTTAAGCTGCTGTGCTGAGCACGGCAGAGGTTTGGGTGAAAGCCCATGCCTGGTGGGTTTGCAGCCAAGACACAGGCCTGGTGAGGCCCAGGCCCAGCTGGAAGAGGGCATGTAGGCTGAGAAGCGGGCCCAGCAGGGAGTGTGTCACCTGCTGCTGAGGTAGTTCTGCGTGCAGGTGAACTGGGTGGACGCCAGCTGTGGTGTGTCAAGCCCCGGGGGGCCCAGAATCTTGCTCTGGTTGGGAGGCTAATCGATGGGGAAGGGGCCCTCTTTCCCCTAGGAGAAATGGTGAATCACAGGCAGTCATGGGGGAAAGCTGGTGGATCATGAAGCCAGCCAGCCAGCTGCCAGCCAGCCAGCCAGCCAGCCAGCCAGCCAGGAGCACGTTTATTTGAAATCAGGAATTTATAACCTTGGCCAGTGGGAGGAATTTTGAGGGTGAATGTGTTTGATTCACTGGGGCCAAGAGGTCAGGGATACTGGATTTACATGTAGTGGCACAGTGCCTCATTTTCCATGCAGTAGCATGGTCCTGTCACAAGAAGAACACAGTACCTAACTATCCTATGGGTGGGAGAATCTCACCCAATTGCAAGTCCATGTGCCAGCTGTGTGTTTACGTGTTGCCTGTGCTCACATGCTGACTGTGTGCATGTGTTGCTCGTGTGCGTCTACATGGCCTGTGTGCATATGTGCCATCTATAACAGCCTCGGAACAAACAACTCACTTTCTCCTTTCTTTTGGGGACATACAGGGACCCCAGGAGTGGCTTTTGTGTCCTTTGCACACATGGAATCAGTTCTAGATGAACGCTTCTTTGAAGGTGGCCAGGCTTTCTGGAAGCTGAAGATGAATTCCCGTGTTGTTGGCGGCACCGTGACCGGAGAGAGGAAGGAGGGCTTCTCCAAGCCTGTCGTCTACACCCTCCAGCACATCCAGGTGTGTGCGGGATCTCCCGAGCCCTGGCTGCCTACTGAGCCGTCCTACCCCTCAGCGGCTATGTCACCTACTTAAGAGACAACTGGTCACAGGTCTGGATGAAAGAATGAATCCCCATTGCTCCTTTACTAAGAGAGATCCTGGGTGGCCTCTTTTAAGTTTCCTCAGTGGTGACACACTACAGCTTATGATGAAACAAGTATTCACATTCATATGCATGTATGTATGCATCATGGTGTACCATGCATACATGTGCTTCTGAGTGTGTGTTTGTGTGTGTGTGTATGTACACGTGATAGCTAAAGATCAATGTTGAATGTCTTTATTGTGCTCACCTTATTTTTTTAACTTTTATTAATTACACTTTATATCCCCCCATAAACCCCTCCCTCCTCCCCTCCTAATCCCACCTTCCCTTCCTCTTCTTCACACATGCCCCTCCCCAAGTCACTGATAGGGGAGGTCCCACTCTCCTTCCTTCTGATCCTAGTCTATTAGGTCTCATCAGGAGTGGCTGCATTGTCATCTTCTGTGGCCTGGTAAGGCTGCTCCCCCTTCAGGGTGAGGTGATCAAAGAGCAGGTGACTCAGTTCATGTCAGAGACAGTCCCTCTTCCCATTACTATGTAACCCACTTGGACACTAAACTGCCATGGGCTACATCTTGCAGGGGTTCTAGGTTATCTCCATGCATGGTATTTGGTTGGAATATCAGTCTCTGGAAAGACCCCTGTGCTCAAATTTTCTGGTTCTGTTGCTCTCCTTGTGGAGTTCCTGTCCTCTCCAGCACTTACTATTTCCCACTTCTTTCTTAAGATTCCATGCACTCTGCCCAACAGTTGGCCATGAGTCTCAGCATCTGCTTTGATAGTCTGCAGGGCAGAGCCTTTCAGAGGCCCTCTGTGGCAGGTTCCTAACTGTTTCCTGTTTTCTTCTTCTGATGTCCATCCTTTTTTCCTTTCAGGATGAGGATTGAACATTTTAGTCAGAGTCCTCCTTCTTGATTAGTTTCTTTAGCTGTACAGATTTTAGTAGGTTTATTCTATATTATATGTCTATATGAGTGAGTATATACAGTGTGTGTCTTTTTGCTTCTGGGACAGCCCACTCAGGATATCCTTTCCAGTTCCCACCATTTACCTGCAAATTTCATAAATTCCTTATTTTTCATAGCTGAGTAATATTCCATTGTGTAGATGAACCACAATTTCTGTATCCATTCTTCGATGCTCATGGCTTGGTAGGATTAACATAGTAAAAATGGCCATATTACCAAAAGCAATCTACAGATTCAATGCAATTTCTATCAAATTACCAACACAATTCTTTACAGACCTTGAAAGAAGAATTCTCAACTTCATACGGAATAACAAGAAATCCATTGCTAAAATAATCCTCTACAATAAAAGATCTTCAGGAGGTATCTCCATCCCTCATCTCAAGCTGTACTAAAGAGCAATATTACTAAAAACTGCATGATACTGGCATAGAAACAGAATGGTGGATCAATGGAACCGAACAGAAGACCCAGAAATAAATCCACACACCTATGGATACTTGATTTTTGACAAAGATGCCAAAACCATACAATGGAAAAAAGATAGCATCTTCAATAAATGGTGCTGGTCTAACTGGATGTCTACATGTAGAAAAATGCAAATAGATCCATACTTATCACCCTGCACAAAACTAAAGACCAAGTGGATCAAATACCTCAACATAAAACCAGACAAATTAAATCGCTTAGAAGAAAAAGTGGGAATACCCTAGAACTCATTGGTACAGGAGACAACTTCCTGAACACAACACCAACAGCACAGGCTCTAAGAGCAACAATCAATAAACGGGACCTCATGAAACTGAACAGCTTCTGTAAAGCAAAGGATGCTCACCTTACTTTTTAAAGATTTAGTTTTTCATCAGTTTATGCACTTTTCATCCCGATTGCAGCTGCCTCCTCCTCTCCTCCGAATCACACCCTCACTCACTCCCCTTCTCCTCAGAGACCAGAAGGTCTCCTGTAGGTACCCATCTGCTCTGGCACATCAAGTCGTAGCAGGACTAGGAGCATCCTCTCCCGCTGAGGCCAGACAAAATGTCCCAGTTAGGGGAAAGGGATCCAAAGGCAGGCTAGAAAAATAGAGGCAGCTCCTGCTGCCAGTTAGGGGATCCACTTGAGGACCCAGCTGCACATCTGCTACATACGTGTAGGGGACATAGATGCAGCTCATGCTTGATCTTTGGCTGGTGCTTCAGTCTCTGAGCCCCCAAGGGCGCAGGTTAGTGGGCTCTGTAAATCTTCTTGTAGTGTCCTAAATCCTTCCAGCTTCCTCAGTCCCTCCTCCTGCTCTTCCACAAGACTTTCTGAGCTCTGCCTAATGTTCGGCTGTGGGTCTCTGCATCTGTTTTCACTAGCTGCTGGATGAAGCCTCTCAGAAGACACTTATGCTAGGCTCCTGTCTGCAAGCGTAGCAGAGTATTATTCATAGTGTCAGGGTTGGCTCTCTCTCGTGGGGTGGGTCTCAGGTTGGGCCAGTCATTAGTTGGCCATTCTCTCAATGTCTGCTTCATCTTTGTTCCTGTACATCTTTCAGACAGGACAAACTTCGGATAGAAGGTTTTGTGGGTGCGTTGGTGTCCCCCTCTTTCCACTGGGAGGCCCACCTGGCTACAGGAGGTGGCCATTTCAAGCTCCTTGTCTCCTGCTGGTAGGAGTCTCAGCCACGGTCACCCCCACAGACTTCCCAGAGCCTCTCGCATTCCAGGAGGTCCTCCCAGAGATGCCTGACCCCAGTGATTCACCCCCAATCCAGTTATCTCTCTGGGTTTTCTGCGTACCTTGTCTCCACCTCATTCCCCTCCCCTCTTCCTCTCCCACCCAGTTTCCTCCCTTCCTCTCTGCACCTCCAATGTCTATTTCCCCTTCTGAGTGAGATTCAAGCAGCCTCTCTTGGGCCCTCCTTGTTACTTAGCTTCTTTGGGTCTGTGGATTTTAGTATGGTTATGTTGTACTTTATGGCTACTATCAACTTACAAGTGAGTTTATACCATGTGTGTCTTTCTGGGTCTGGGTTACCTCACCCATGATCATCTTTTCTAGTTCCATGCGTTTGCCTGCACATGTCATGATTTCTGTTTTCAAAAGCTGAGTAGTATTCCATTGTGTAAATGTACTATAGTTTCTTCGACTGAGGAACATCTTGGATGTTTCCAGATTCTGGCTATTGTGAATAAAGCTGCTATTAATGTAGCTGAGCTAGTGTCCTTGTGTTATGGTGGGATATCTTTTGGGTCTATTCCCAGGAGTGGCATAACTGGGTCTTGAGGTAGAACTATTTCCAAAGTGGTTGTACAAATTTACCCCAGAATGCTCTTTGGTTAGTGGTTTAGTCTCTGTGAGCCTTCATGGGCCCAAGAAGACCATAGGTCTTCTTGTGGTGTATTTGATATCTCCAGCTCTCTCAGTCCTTATTCCTACTCTTCCATAAGACTCTCTGAGATCTGCCTATTGTTTGGCTGTGGGCCTCTGCATCTGTTCCCATCAGCTGCTGGACGAAGCCTCTCAGAAGACAGTTATGCTAGGCTCCCGTCTGCAAGCATAATAGAGTATCATTAATAGTGTCAGGGTTTGGCTCTCTCCCATGGGATGGGTCTTGAGTTGGGCCAGTCATTGCTTAGCCGTTCCCTTGATCTCTGCACATTTTTTTAGGCAGGACAAATTTTGGGTTAAAGGTTTCATGAGTGTTGCTTTTTCTCCACATCCTTGACAACAAGTGCTGTTACTTGAGTATTTGATCTTAGCCATTCTGACAGGTATAAGATGGAATCTCAGAGTCACTTTGATTTGTATTTCCCTGATGACTAAGTATGTTGAACATCTCTTTAAGTGCTTCCTGGCCATTAGATATTCTTCTACTGAGAATTCTATGTTTAGTTTTGAACCCCACTTTTAATTGGGTTATTTGGTTTGTTAGTATTTAATTTTTTGGGTTCTTTATACATTTTGAATACTAGCCCTTTGTTAGATTTAGGGTTGATGAAAATCTTTTTCCATTCTGTTGGTTGCTGATTTGTCCTGTTGATAGCCTCCTTTGCCTTACAGAAGCTTTTCAGTTTACTAAATTTTTTTAAATTAAATTAATTAACTCAGTTTACATCTCAGTCATAGGCTCCTCCCTCCTCTCCTTCCACTTTCCCTCCCATATCCCCTCTCCCTTATCTCTCAGAATAAGGGAGCCCCCTTCAGACACCCCAGCTCACCTATTCACATGAGGACTTCCTCCCCTGTGGCTTAGTAAGGAAGTCTCATCAGGGAGAAGTGATCCAAAAAAGGCAGGCAACACTCCCCTAACTAGTGGGCCCACATAAAGCCTAAGATGCCCATTGGGCTTATTTTCTTAAAGTCTATGCATTGTAGTATGTCTATTCTGTACTATATGACTAAAATCCTCTCATAAATGGATTGGATTATTTTGTTTGTTGGTGTTTAATTTCTCGAGTTCTTTATATATTCAGAAATTATTAGCCGTTTGTCAGATGTAGGATTGGTGAAGATCTTTTCCTAATCAGTAGACTGTTTTTTCATTTTATTGATAGTGTCCTTTGTTTTACAGAAGCTTTTCATTTTTAAGAGGTCCCATTTATTAATTGTAGATCTTAGAGCTTGAGTTCCTGGTGTACTGTTGATGAAATTGTCTCTTGTGCCAATGAGTTCAAGGCACTTACCCACTTTCTCCTCTAGTATTTTTAATGTATCTACTTTTATGTTGAGGTCTTTGGTTCACTTGGACTTAAGTTTTGTGAAGGGTGATAAATATGGATCTATTTGCATTTTTCTACATGTACACGTCCAGTTAGACCAGCACCATTTGTTGAAGATGCTGTGTTTTTTCCATTGTATGATTTTGGCTCCTTTGTCAAAAATCAGGTGTGTATATGTGTATGGGTTTATTTCTGGGTCTTCAATTCAATTGAACAACCAGTCTATTTCTGTGCTGGTTCCATGCAGTTTTTATTACTATTGCTCTGTAGTAGAGCTTGAGGTCAGGTATGGATATACCCCCAGAAGTTCTATTATTTTGTATAGGATTGTTTTAGCTATTCTGTGTTTTTTTTTTTTTTTTTTTTTTTTTTTACATATGAAGTTGAGAATTGTTTTTTCAAGGTCTGTAAGAACTGTGTTGGTATTTTGATTAGAGTTGCATTGAAATTGTAGATTGCCTTTGGTAAGATGGCCATTTCTACTATGTTAGCCCTACTGATCCATGAGCATGCATGATCTTTCCATTTCTTGTATCTTCTTCAATTTTTTTTCTTCAGAGACTTGAAGTTCTTGTCATGCAAGTTTTTGACTTTTTTGGTTAGAGTTACCCTTAGATACTTTCTACTATTTGTGGCTTATTGTGAAGTGTGTAGTCTCCCTAATTTATTTCTTAGCCCATTTGTCATTTGTGTACAGGAGGGCTACTGATTTTTTAAAATTAATCTTGTATCCAGCAACTTTGGCTGAAGGAGTTTATCAGCTGCCGGAGTTCTTTGGTGGAATTTTCTGGGTTCCTTATGTATACTATTATATCATCTGCAAATATCAATTCTTTAACTTGTTCCTTTCTGATTTGTATCCCTTTGATTGCCTTTAGTTGTCTCATTGGTCTAGCTAGAACTTCTATTACTGTATTGAACAGATATGGAGAGAGTGGACAACCTTGCCTTGTCCCTGATTTTAGTGAGGTTGCTTTGAGTTTTCTCTCCATTTAGTTTGATGTTGGTTATTGGCTTGCTTTGTATAGCATTTATTATGTTTAGGTATGGGCCTTGTATCTCTGATCTGTCTAAGATCTTTTATACCTTTTGCAATATATTATTATTATTTATAATTTATTCTCTTTGTATCCCAGATGTAGCCCCCTTCCTCATCTCCTCCTGGTCCCACCCTCCTTCACTCTTCCTCCCCTATCCTTCTTCCCTAGTTCACTCTTCCTCCCCTTCTGTCTGACCCTAGCCTATCAGGTACATCAGGACTGCCTGGATCCCCTTCCTCTGTGGGCTGGCAGGTTACCCCGCCAGGGAGAAGTGATCAAGATTGCCATAATCTGTTTGTCTTTATCTTCCTGTGTTTCATTACGGATGACCATACTCTGTTTGTTTTTATCTTCCTCCATTTCTGTATGAATGGCCATAATCTGTTTGACTTTATCGTCCTCTAATTCTTTGCACATTTTATTTGTTTCCTCTATTTTTCTCTTCATAAACACAGATATAAGGCCATCTTCTTGAATGTCATTCATACTGCTGTGTCCAGGGATGCTTACCCCTGGATAACTGGCTTCTGGAGATGCCATATTGCTTTGTCTTTTGTTGGTCAAACTTTTACACTGGCCTATACCCATTGGGCTGTCTTAGGTGTTGGCTGTTAGTTTCTGGTGATTGCTGAAATCCTGGGGTGGGGAGAATCCCCTTAGCAGGAAGATGATTTTTCCTGAAGGAGGCCTCCTCAGATTTTTGGGTATGGTCACCAAATGCCTGGCGTTTCTCAGGAATTGCCACAGCTCACCTCATGCATATAGACCTCAGTGGTAACTGTGGTCTTTCTTAGTCAAGAGGGCTCCCCTCTCACTCAGAGAAGTCCTGGAGGCAGCTGCCCTGCTGTTGGGTTTCTTGCTCTGAATTTAGTGAGCTACTGTTGTTCTTACACTGTTTTCTAGGCACAGCCCTTTTGAAGAACCTGAGAGTCCCCCAGTTTGGTCAGTTTAGTTAGGTATAACTGGTTGCCCCTTGGAACAGTATCTAGGGGCTGATTTCGGGTATCCCAGGCTTCTGTAGGTCTGGGGTTGGAGCTCTGTGCTCCAGTATCCAAGCGGTAATCAGTGGCAGGTGAGCATAGCTCTCATTCGTGAAGCCTGCAGGGACCTAGAAACTTTTCCGGAGCTGGGTGTCCTGAGGTTGGACCTGATGTTTTTCTCCACCGTGGGATTTCCTTCCAACAGGGAAACCCAGTCTGTGGTGTTTTGGGGTCCACAGTTCCGTCTGGGATGGTGCATTAAACACACAGGTGCAGAGGAGTGGTGGCTCCAAGTTGGTGACTGGGCCCCTGCAGGAACACAGGAACTTTTCCTGCGAACTTTTCCTTGTGTGTATGTGGCGGGGCGATGGGAGTTGGCTGAATGCTCTAAGTCCAGACCTGCTGTTACCCTCACAGGAGGGTTTCTCCCAACAGGGAAACCCAGTCTCTGGTGTCCTGAGGCCCACAGTTATTTCTAGGATGGTGAGTCAGTCATGTAGCAGCTCTCTGGGCTGGCGGTTGAGTACCCTGTTCTGGGTTGGAGGCTGTGTACCTGTTGGACCCCAGGGCCTTTTCCTGGGATTGACTGGGTGACCTGAGGTTGGTCCCGTTTGCTTCCTTCACTGTGGAGGTTTCTTTCAACTGGAAATCTCAGTCTCTGGTGTTTTGGTCCCCACAGTTCAGCCTAGGAAAGGTGATCATGACATGCAGGTGTGTGGCTCTGGGCTGATGACCGAGTGCCCACCAACTCTTCCATGTTTTACCTGGTTGACCTGAACCAGATTGATTCCTACACCGTGGGGTTTCCTCTCAGCTGGGAAACACAATCGCTGGTGTTTTAGGGCCCAGAATTTGGTCTCTTGGTCACTGTGCCATCACTGCTGTCCTGCTCCTCAGACATAGTGTCCTCCTGGTGCTGCCATCTTGGATCCCCTCCTGGAATTCTTCTTGTGTTTTCTTTTTTGCTTCTATTTCCGTTTTTAAGTTTTGAACAGTTTTATTCATTTCCTTCACCTGTTTGGTTGTATTTTCCTGTATGTCTTTAAGGGATTCATTCATTTCCTCTTAAGGGCCTCTATCATCTTAACAAGATTGGATTTAAGGTCATCTTCTTGTGCTTCAGTTGTGTTAGGATATCCAGGGCTGCCATATGCTAGCTGGACCCTGGTGGTGCCATATTGCCCTGACTCTGTTTTTTTAAACGTGTTCTTATGCTGGTATTTAGACATCTGGTTGTCCCTGGTGTTGGCTGGATGTTCCTTATGCTTCCAGGACTCCTCAAGGAGCCAGGCAGGACTGTAGGCCTGACAGTGGAGCTCAGGGAACAACCTGTTGCTCAGCTCTGTTGGCTGTGTCCCAAATGGACCTAAATGTTCATAGGGACCTGTAGGGCTCCTCAGGAGAGTAGGCAGAACTGTGAGACAGACAATGGGGTTTGGGGGACAGTGCAAATGTCACCTCTGCTGGCTGTTTTCCTGGTTGACCCGGCAGAGGGAAACTGGCTAGTAGGTGTTTAACGGATATTCCTTGGGTCCAGCAGGCCTCCTCAGGAAGGCAGGCAGAGCCTTGGGCCAGATGTTGGAACTCAGGGGACAGTGTACAGCTTATCTCTGCTGGATGTGCCCCAGGTGGATCCAGCAGGGAGGGGACTCTGGGGGAGGGTTTAAAATTGATTTTTATTATTTATAATTATGTATGAGTTTGCCTGTGTGTATGTGCATATGAATGCATCAGGTTTCATGAAACTGGAGTTACAAGTGTTTGTGATCATCTAATATGGATACTGGGAAGCAAACATGGTTCTTCTGGATGAGCAACAAGTGTTGTTAACTGCTAAACCATCTCTCCTACATTCTCCTGTCTTGGTTTTTTTTTTTTTTTTTTTTTTTTTTTTTTTTTTTTTTTTTTTTTTT